TTTAGGAACTGAACCAGGATCTAAAGCCTATCGCTTACTTGATCCAACAAAGCAAAGAATAGTAGTAAGTAGAGATGTTGTGTTTGATGAAGAGACAAGTTGGCAGTGGAACAATACTGAGAAAGATAGTAATTTTGAGATAAGTTTTGGTGAATTCGGGAACAATGGTATAAGGGAGGATGTTACTGTAACAGAAACAGAAAATAATAAGGATGGTGAGAGAATAGAACCAATAGAAAACACTGGTAACACTGAAAACACTGAGCATGTTTCTCCTACCAGAAACCATGAAAACAGAGAAGATAGAGAACAACCACAGCCAAAGCTAAGAAGGTCAGAAAGAGAATCAAAGAAACCAGGCTACTTAGAAGACTATGTCCTACTTGCGGAATATGAAAGTAAAAGACTTCTACTTGTTATAAATGAAGAACCATGGGATTATAATGAGGCAAAAGAATCCAAGGAGTGGATAAATGCATGTGTAGAAGAAATCACTTCCATAGAGAAAAACAGAACATGGGATCTAGTAGACCTTCCCATAAATGCAAAACCAATAGGGTTAAAATGGGTGTTCAAAATTAAAAGAAATGCTAATGGAAGCATAAACAAGTACAAAGCAAGACTAGTAGCAAAGGGTTATGTACAAAGACATGGGATTGATTTTGATGAAGTCTTTGCACCTGTGGCTCGCATTGAGACTATTCGTTTTATTGTTGCTCTAGCAGCTTCCTATGGCTGGGAAATACACCATCTTGATGTGAAAACTGCGTTTCTTCATGGAGAACTAAAGGAAGTGGTATATGTTACACAGCCTGAAGGTTTTATAATAGAAGGAAGCCAAAACAAGGTGTATAAACTGAATAAAGCACTCTATGGACTTAAGCAAGCCCCTAGAGCTTGGAACACAAAGCTAAATACAATTCTCTTAGAATTGGGTTTTGTTAAATGTTCAAAGGAGCCATCCATATACCAAAAGAAGGAAAAAGAAGAGCTCCTTGTTGTAGCAGTCTATGTAGATGATCTACTTGTCACAGGATCCAACTTAAATATGATACTTGAATTCAAGAAGGGTATGGCAGGGAAGTTTGAGATGAGTGACTTAGGAAAGCTCACCTATTATCTTGGAATTGAAGTTACTCAAACTGAGAATGGCATTCTTTTGAATCAAGAGAGATATGCAAAGAAAATTCTTGAAGAAACTGGTTTTAGTTCTTGCAATGCAGTTCATATACCAATGTGTGCCAATCTGAAGTTAAGTAAAGCGCAGGAAGAAAAGGGAATTGATGAAAAAGAGTATAGGAGAAGTATCGGCTGCCTCAGGTATTTACTGCATACAAGACCAGACTTGTCATACTGCGTTGGAGTATTAAGCAGGTATATGCACGAGCCAAAAGAGTCTCATGGAGCTGCTTTAAAACAAGTTCTCAGGTATTTACAGGGAACTCAGTCTTATGGACTCTGTTTTAACCGAGGGGACAAGACAGAGCTAATAGGATTCAGTGATAGTAGTCATAATGTAGATGAAGATGATGGCAGAAGCACTACTGGTCATATTTTCTACCTTAATGACTGTCCTATTACGTGGTGTTCACAAAAGCAAGAGACTGTTGCACTCTCGTCCTGTGAAGCTGAATTTATGGCTGCTACTGAAGCAGCAAAGCAGGCCATTTGGCTCCAAGAACTCTTACAAGAAGTTACTGAGAAACAGTGTGAAAAAGTGGTGATTCTTATTGATAACAAATCGGCAATAGCACTAACAAGGAATCCAGTGTTTCATGGCCGAAGCAAACATATTCACAAGAGGTATCATTTTATTCGGGAATGTATTCAGAATGAGTTGGTTGAAGTTGAACATGTTCCCGGTGAGCTACAAAAGGCGGATATTCTTACAAAAGCTCTCGGGAGAATCAAGTTTAAAGAAATGAGAGATCTTATAGGAGTCCAAGATGTTAAAGAAAAGGCTCTCAAGCTTAAGGGGGTGAATGTTGAGTTAAGCTTGAGCTAAAAGCTTTTTGTTCTTTGGTTAAAGTTAACTTGAGGTATGAGTTAACTTGTGGATAAAGATAAAGTTTAGAAGTTATCTTAAACTTAAGATAATATCTTTGTAAACCCTAAACGAGTTATGTTTAAGTCGGTTTCAAGTTTGTAGTCGGTTTAAGTTTGTGTGTATATATATGAGATACCATTGTGTGGTAATCCATATGAGAAGTTTATGAGTTTGTGTTGTAGAGATTAAGAGATTGTGTGAGACCTTTGTTTTGAGTTAGTTTCAAAGGTAATAAGAAAAGTTGTTCTTATACACATAAGTCTTGATCAAAAGGTTTTATTTAGGGTTCTTAAACAATAGAGAGTTGGAGCAACGTCAAACCGACCAATCACGTTTCCTTTTACGTGAGACACAATACGTACCAACGCATTTTGGTTGTCCTTTCATCCACAGTATACATAAATACTTAAAATATATATGTTGAGCATTTCACGCAGCTTAAACACTTTCTTTTTCTGCTCTGTAGTAGCAAATATTTCTCAATTCTCGTAGAAACTTTATTTTGAATAATAATAAACTAACGAATGGTTAAATTTAAGAAGAATCTCTAAGGTGAATTGGAGAGTGGTTTGTCAAAGTAAAACAACACACACAGTTTATAATTACGACCGCACTGTGATTTTTGTCCAACAACTAAAACCAACAGGACAGAACTCAAATAGTTATATAGATTCCGCACGTGAGATGAAATTCCTAAAAGCAGACATAAGTGGAGGGATAAACATGCCTATGATGATGTCTCAAACGGATCATTCTGGAGCATATTCCACGCAACACCGAATAATTAAAGTTACGGACAGTAAAAGTAACCAATTTTTTTATTAACATCCATAAGATCAGAATCTAAATTTAATTGACTTTATAAACTTGCCTCGAGATTCGGGATAAGTTTAGTAGTAACCAACCCTTAAATTAGAAAAGCAAAAAGAGATATCACACCACCAAAATTCAACTAATAGAAACTGATAAACAGTTGTTTTCGGATTCAATAACTTCAAAGAAATCCAACACAGGAGAGAAGAAGAGAGAAAAGCAAACTGGTAGGTAATTTTAATAGGGGACGACGAAACATGAGACAATATAAAGAAACATAAACTTAGAGAGTCGCTGCGCCGACCAGAGTAACCCAAAGAGAGCTTCTCTCTCAGCACTTGACCTCCTTCAAACCATGTGCGAAGTACAAAAATGTTGGGTTAGTTGCACCATCCTTGTAGTAGGCAAAGACCAAAGAGCTGTCATCGTGCATTGACTCCCCAACAAAGCTAAAATCAAACAACATAACCATAAATGAGATCTCAGATCAACAAGTTTCAAAAAACTATAGTTGTCATGTTACAAGGAAAATATGATAGATTAGGGAAACTCACAATTGGAGGTCTTTGAGCTTGGGGAGAAGGTACTTGGTAGCTCCCTCAATGCCCTTCTTGAAGGATTCCTGCTGTTCTTCGTTGAGCTTGGGTGTCAACGACTTGATGTATTTCTTAATATAAGCGACGAATCCCTTCTTGTCATAAGTTGGTTGCTCCTATATGAACAAAAAAGGAGAGAACTTGGATCAATATTAGCAATGCTACTAAACAGAACAAAGATAGGTACAGGACAAGCAATTGGTAAACTGACATGTTCCTTGTAACAGATTGTGTATCTAAGAAGAAAAAACGAACCTGAAGTCTGAAGGTGTCGACAATGTCAACAACCTTTTGAGCAGAGTCATCAACACCCTCATCCTCACCACCTTCTTCAGCAGATGGATTGGCACCAATGTTAACATCTACAGCTCCCAGAGTAACCCACTGAATAATAAAAAACAAAACCCAATTCAGAACAGGAAAACCAAAATTTAACAAATTCAGAACAAAACTTAAATTAGGATTGATGACACTGACCTTTCCTTCTACTTCCCAAAGAATTCCATTCTCAATCTCCTTGTAAGGGAAAGAGTCAGACAGAAGCTCATCACCTGAAATCAATACCCCAGAATCTTCAGTCGTATTGAGCTCAATATAATCCCCATAAGATCCCAAATATAAACAACTACGAGCTCAACCAAATCCAGTGACTCTAAAATTCAGATTATTAGCCAAAACTTCATCAAATCAATACTAGTTAAGCATTCTAAACAACCGAAAAAAACCCTAAAATCCAATCTAAAACGAAACAGAGGACATTCATATGCTAAATCAATCACAGATCTAACCAAATCGCAGAAACTAATCCGCTAAGATTAGAATTATCAATGCAAATCAACGAAAAACCTCAGATGCGATCACAGATCTAACGTAATTTCAAAGTCGATATCACTATTAGTATCCCGATCAAAGATATAGATCGATAGCTACAGAATTATTAATAAGAGATTAAACAATAATTGAGCATACCGGTGAGAAGATCTGTGTACACCAACATGGTCGCTTATTTGATTTATTTATCTCTCTCTCTCCGATGGATGTGAATTAACGAAAATTGAAGGTTGCGGGAGAGAGACGCAGCGACGAGAGGGGTCTAAAAGAAGATCCTAACTTTGGTATTTATAGTGGAAAAAAAAAGCGTAGGGTTTTCGCTGGAGTAAATAAAATTTTCGCTGGAGTAAATAAAATTCCCGATAAATTTACAATTTTGGGCTTTTCCTTTTACCCAATTTTCTATTTTACCTTTTCCTTTTTTCTGAACCTTTTGTTTGAAGAATGCAAATTTCTTTGGACAAACAGAGACAACAATAAGGCAGCGGACATACTTGCAAAGGAGAGATTACCACCAGAGTCTCAATTTTGTTTTTATTCATCTGTTCCTTTTGTAATATCAACCAGTTTGAATTGTGTGTGACAATGCTCTTTCAAATTAATAAAAGTTGACGTTAAAAAAAAAAAAAAAAAATCTGAACCGACCCAAACGCTTAATGAGCCGGGTTTGGGCCAACGGGTGGGGATTTAAGTGTATATAAATAACGGTCGGGTCGGATAAAATCCTATTTCCCTCTCTTCTCTCCGTCTCTTTCGTTCTGATTCTGATTGTTCGTGTAAAACCCTAGATGACGATGCTAAGTTTGAGCACGGAAGTCGATACTCAGTCACTGAAAAAACTCAGTCTCAAATCTGTAACACGAGCTCGTGAACTTTTCTCCCCCGTCCATGGCCAATTTCCTCCTCCTGATCCTGAAAGGTTAATCACCAGTTTCGCTTGCAATGTCCACTTGTTTTCTCGAAAATTTTCAGAATTTTTATGTGTATTGACAATTCTTCTTCTTCTTCTATGTTTTTGTTCTTTTGTCTCGCAGCAAAAGAATTCGGCTCTGCCATAAGGTAAGGGTTTTTTCGAATTTTTTAAAAATTTTCTCTTTGATTCTGTTGAAAATTTTGTTCGCTTCCTCGTTTGGTTTGGTTTTTCTAGTGGATAGCATTATGGCAAGTTTCTGAGACGTTGAAACTGATAGATGAGATCAATTCATGTATGCTTTAGCTCTCAAACTTGACGTTTTTATGAGGTGTAAATCGATCAGTCAACATTTTTTCTGTCTTATTACCTATGATCTGGCGTTAGATTCTTTTCATCAGCTACGATTGTTTGAGCTTGCGTGATTTCTAGCCTATTACCCTCATCTTTATAGTAAGATGTTGAATTTGCATGAATTTTTTGTGTTTTAGTGAGCATCAAAGTAGGATGTATTGTTAATGACTTGGAGGTTTCTTTGTATAGATTCAAGTTTCATTTGGAGGCGTAGAACCTGCAAGTAAGCCTACACGTAGTGCTGAACATAACAGTGAAAAGACGGCTCCATCGAATGCCCTTGCCCTTCCAGGTAGTTTTTTTTTATCTGTTTTCCCTGGTGTGAGACGAAACTAGTTTCCTATTTTCTAGTTTTCCTGATATCTATGTATATTAGTTGTGAGTTTCATTCATATGTCTATAATTAGGATTGCAAAACAAGTTTCAGTAATGTATCTCTTAGAGTACCTTTTGAAACTAACTCCTGCTGGACTAAAAAAACCCTGTTAGTCCAAATTATACTCACAAGTCTCTTGTTCTGAAAGACCAAATTATTTGCTCTGCAGGTCCAGAAGGTTCCAAGGAACTTCGAAAAGGCACAACAGAGAAAGCTTTAGTTGTTGGTCCAACTTTACCGTCAAGAGACTTGTGAGTATACCTTTTCCTTTGGAATGTGACTAATCCATATAGTTAGTATAAAGAATTTTTGACATTCTCAAGAATGTTATTGCTGTTCTGTCTTTGTGATTGATTCTCTACTTATTGTGCTGATGCTGATAATTTTGATTCTTGAATTGAAGGAACAATACTGGTAATCCAGGCAAAAGCACGGCCATTCTTCCTGCATCTGGATCCTTTTCTGAAAGGTTTTGTGTCCCATCCTTTTCTTCTTTTGTGGGCTCTCTATAATGACACTATATCTAGGTTGCGATACCTAGGTGGTATATAAAACCACGATGAGGTGGATATAGGTTGATCATAGTCATGAATTTAAATTTGGCCATATTTATTCAACCTGAAATGACTCTAGCTTGTATCAATGCTGCAGTTTTCATTATTTGTCCATCTTTGCCCCTCTATGTGTTACAGAAATCTGTCAACTGCTGCTTTAATGGAGAGAATGCCTAGTAGATGGCCTCGTCCAGAGTGGCATGCACCATGGAAGAATTACAGGGTAAGATGTGTGTTACAGTAACATATCTGCATCTTATGGATATAACATTTAAGCGAAGCATGTAGGTAGTCTTGGCGTCCAGAGGTTACTTAATGTTCTTATTGAATTGATGCATTTTTTTGGCTAACAGGTGATCCAGGGACACTTGGGTTGGGTCAGATCTGTTGCGTTTGACCCAAGTAATGAATGGTTTTGCACTGGTTCAGCTGATCGTACCATCAAGGTAACTGAGGAAATCTAATTCAATGCCTTTTTTTTTTCCATTCTTCATGCAACATTTACCTATATCTCATGAATTACTCTTGCTGAAATTGCTTCTGTGGCTCTTGTTCACTAGATATGGGATGTAGCGACCGGAGTTCTGAAACTCACACTTACTGGACATATAGGGCAAGTACGAGGTTAGACTAATATTTTCTTCCTCTCAGTTTGTTAGTTTATCAATAGCTCTTGTAGAAAAGTACCAGTGTACAAGTTTCAACTCTAAATCTATATAATTATTGTTTCACAGGCCTCGCTGTAAGCAATAGACATACCTATATGTTTTCTGCTGGTGATGACAAGCAAGTCAAATGCTGGGACCTTGAGCAGAATAAGGTTCGAACTCGATGATGGATTTCATCTCATCTGTAAATTAATTACTCTTCTCCTGATCTGAACTTCTCATGTCCAATGTTTTTGGAATTTGTCTTTGATAGGTTATTCGATCTTATCATGGTCATTTGCATGGCGTTTACTGTTTAGCTCTTCATCCAACGCTAGATGTTATACTAACCGGAGGGCGAGACTCTGTCTGCAGGGTATGAAATTTACTCAAAGATGTAACCTGTGGTTATAAACATATGTATTTTTGATGTTTGAGTTTGCTGACTATTGTCAAAAATCCTTTTCTGCGTATAGGTATGGGATATCCGTACGAAGATGCAAATTTTTGTACTCCCACATAACGCAGATGTTTTTTCCGTTTTAGCCCGTCCAACTGTACGCCACATTTCATCTTCTCTTTATTCTATCACTTAATGTCCGTGTTGTACTTGTGGCGAAGAAGCACACACCGCTATTTTATGCTTATATAGTCGTATGCCTTTCTTTCAATAACTTTGGAACTTACTGTTTCTATGATGTTGCAGGATCCACAAGTTATTACAGGGTCTCATGACTCAACCATCAAATTTTGGGATCTCCGATTTGGTACGTTAACATTTAACAATCTCTTGGACTTTTGCTTTTCTTTCCTCCCGAGCTTTTCATTATTTGCAGGGTTGGGCTAACGAATATATTATAAACAGGCAAATCGATGCTAAATATAACGAATCATAAGAAGACTGTCCGAGCAATGGCTCTCCATCCGAAAGAGTAATTGTCTTGCTTTTTCGACCTTAGAGTTTTGCATGATAATGCACCCTGTTTTAATGTCTCTTTCTGTTTTGTTCAGGAATGCTTTTGTTTCTGCATCAGCTGACAATATCAAGAAGTTTAGCCTTCCTAAGGGAGAGTTTTGCCACAACATGCTGTAAGTTCTGGAGTCCTTGTAGTTATTTGAGCCTTAATCCACTCTCTTACATCTTCCAGTGCAATGAAAAAGATGGTGTTTCTCAAATAAAGTGGAAATTTTAGTTTTCTGATGTGTTTTCATGTTATCTTTCTTTTTTGGAGAAGTTCTCTGCAGAGAGACACAATTAACGCAGTGGCTGCGAACGAGGATGGCGTAATGGCCACTGGAGGTATTAATTCATTTCCAAATCACTTTCTTTGATCGTTACGGGAGAAACACTGATACTTGTATTCACATTTCCTTCACATATTATATACCCAATTTCATTATTTGAACTAAAATGTCCCCGTCTTTGTTCAACTGAAGGTGATAAAGGTGGCTTATGGTTCTGGGACTGGAAGAGTGGTCACAATTTCCAACAGGCAGAAACTATTGTACAGCCCGGTATGTCCTCAACCTATTTCGTGATCCTTTACCCTTGCGTTACTTATATGGTTAAAATATTTTAAGTCTTAGAGGTTTATGCTTAGTAGTTCTAAGGAAGCTCTCAATTTTCATGAAGTGACAGAGTTTTTTACGCTCTAGAATTTGCTGCAACTGCAAGTAGTAATTATGTCTTATCTCATTTACATGGTTAGGTTCGCTGGAGAGTGAAGCCGGTATATATGCAGCGTGTTACGATAGGACGGGTTCAAGGCTGGTAACGTGTGAGGCAGACAAAACAATAAAGATGTGGAAGGAAGACGAGAATGCAACTCCTGAAACTCATCCTCTCAACTTCAAACCTCCCAAAGAGATCAGACGCTTCTGAGGTTTCTCTCTCTTACAAGTTACACCTCTCTAATCTCAAACTCGAAGTCAGAAAAAAAAACCACTAATCTCACCAAAATCTGTTTCTGGATAAAAAAAAAAAACCTTGTTTATGTGATATATTTTTACCAGTTCTTCTTCAAGGTAGAGAAGGGAAAATAACAGCATTGTAGTTTCTTGGTGACTAATTGTAGTTTTGCATGAGTGTAGCCATTATTTTCGGAAGGGTTTTGGAACTCATTTGGTTTTATTTGGAACAATTCAGTTAAAACCAATCTTTCTAACGATGATTGGTATGCCCCTAAATCTCTTACTAAAATCACTAGTGGCCATGACGATCCAAAGTCTTCTCCAATAGCCAACAAAACCAAAATTCAACATACAAATAAAATATTATATACAAGAATAACAAAATTAAGCATGACATGTACACAACAATGCCAAAACATCTACTGTGTTTGTGGTGTTTGTCAAACGATTATTGAGCAATTACCGTTACCAAGAGGCCAACTTGATCGCAATGCGACTAATCGCGTTGTAGATGCATCTTTTACTGGTCCCCGTGGCGTTTAGTAGAATTTCATTCATAAGATACATTCACATTTACGTATGAGATAATTCTTTGTTATAGCTATAAAAATGAGCGATCCATCTTAAAGCTGAAGATTTAAAATACGTTCCATGGACCAATCTATAACACAAGATGGGTGGTGGATTTTCCCTTATCTCCTTATATCAAGAGTCTACTTGTGATAAGTTTGATTTGTTTATATATAATAAAATACTTAAGGAGGAAAAAATGAGCCAAATCTATAGGAGAGCCCCCTATGATCTGGGGTTTAAGAGTTAAGACCACTCAATAATGCAAATTGTCGGATTTGGACTACGGAAATATCGATCTCACCATATCTTTTTATTGACCCAAAATTTAGGATACATTCAAAGACAAAAGTGTAGTCCAATATTTTGTCTTTCTTTCTTGAGTTGTCTCTTTACCTTGCGAGTTCGGTCTCTTGACCAATCCTTTTTTTTTGTAAATCGACATTTTATATAGTTTTGCATTAAAATGGTGTTTCTTATAGTTTAAACTTTAAAATCATGTTTCACTCAACTAAGTTCTTTAGCTTTTGATATTAGAAACTCAAGTTTTTTTCGTTAAAATAATGTTGTTCAATTTAATTAGTAGTCAAAATTATGTTCTTTCTTCTCTCAAAACTTACTAAAACCCCCCGAAAACACAGTAAGAAAATCATTTCATTCCATAACTCAAGTTTTATTTGGTGAACTGAAACATTAATATGGAAGGCGGAAGTTGTTTTACTAAATTTAATTTTTTCTAATGATACGAATTTTCTGTGTGCTAATTACTATAAAGAGGGAATACCCTATATTATATTCGTTATTGATCACACCCCGTTACCTTTGTGTGACACCATATATTGGGAATATCTAAATACGTACTCGTTGAGTTCTCGAAGTTTATATCACCACATCATGCATACACTGACCGGTGCAGTTTGAAATTGCAAAGATTATGGCTTACCGAGAATAGCAATTGAACGCATGAGATGATGTAGTATATAGTACACATCGGTTTTAATTAATACTCATCTAATCTTGGGATATGTACGTCTTCAAAACGTTTGCAGGGATATTCATGGATAAATTATAGAATGTCTAGGAAAGAATCATACACAGTTGAAACTACATTTTAGGATCCGTGTTTTACGATCAAACCTAGGGACGATTTAAATTGTATAATACAGTAAACGTATCATTAGCGATTTAAATATAAAGGGGCAAAATAAATAGGAGGGGTGAGATCTATAAAACTTGTTCTATAAATAGAGCTGCATGGGGAAGACACTTTATCACATCCAAAACCAAAAGCAACACAAACACACACCAAAAAAAACAAAATACATTTACTTTCTACTCAACAGTTTCAACTAAAGATTTCTATAGTAACCCTACAAACATGGCAATGTTAAAGAACAAACACATGACCGTCTCACTGATCTTGGTGTGTCTCATTGTGGTGTCTCCAATGGCTGAGGCTCAGCTTGGACTTGGTGGTGGTGGTGGTGGTGGTGGTGGTGGTCTTATTGGGGGTCTTGGTGGTCTTGTTGGTGGTCTTGGTGGTCTTGTCGGTGCTCTTGTTGGTGGTATTCTCAATCTCGTCAATATAAATGGGGTTGTCTTTTGCTCTCTCAATGGCGCTCTCAATGGCACTTCCACTCCTGCTTTCGCTAGTAAGCTTTCCATTCTTCTACTTTCACCTTTGATCAATCACGCAAAACCGGCCCAATAACAATTCCCTTGGTTCTGTTAACCAGGCGGGTTTTGTTTTAGATAATTCAACAGATACAGTCATACAAAAAGGGTTTTCTTGTAAATGTTTTGTCATACAACCATAAACTATAAACTGATTTTAAGAGCTTACGCTATAACATGTTTGTAAACCCAACAATCTTGTGAGACATTGATATTAAAATGTAGAACTCTAACATTTCAGATTCTGTTTCTCTTCTGTATAGTATATAGTATGTAATCTTTCTTACACTCAAATTTATCAAAACTATATATAAGTTAATTAGTTAACCTAGATATACTAAGATAAAGGTTCACGAATTAATATATATCTAAAAAAATATTCACAACGTATAATATGATCCTTTAATTTGTAGACATCCACATGCATGATACATATAACTAAGTTTTGAGATACATATATATATTTACTAACCCTAAGACTGCAAACTTACAGATGCAGGAGTTCAGCTCCAGTGCGGAAGGCAAAACAGAGTCGTTTCAACAGCGACCACGAACGCTGCCGGATTATTCACGCTTCCTACAGACACAATTCAGATGTTACTTTCCACACTCCTCTCTGATTGTCGGGTCGTCGTCACGACCCCTCTCTCCACCTGCAACGCCAACCTCCCTTCCGTTGGCAACCTCGTCTCACGGTTAGCCATGATCGGGAACAGCCTTACCGGCCTCCTCAACATCATCAGTATCATCCCTGCCGGCTTTGGTCTCCTTACCTGATTTCAAACTATTTATATATACTCTATGTTCGGTTACAGTGTGTTTCCCTTTTGTTATATGTTTTGTGTGATGGCCATTTACGTTTACTTGCGTGTGCATGAATAAGGTCTATATAGGGCTTACGTCTCAACGTTTAAAGTCTTCTGTTGTAACTTTTTTTTTTCTCCATTCTGCATGTATAATGCTTTTGTGAAATGATACAAACAATTTCCCTTTTCAAATAACTAAAACTATATAATTTGTAAACTAGTAAAAGGTAACTGCAATTATAACGACCAATAGAGCATGTCCATATATAACACGAAGAAAAAAAATTAAAAACCCAAAATGCAACGATTCCTTAAACTTTTCAAATTTAAAAGACGAACTTGAAACAAATTCAAACTTTAGGGGTCTAGGTTATAACTACCCCGGAAGATAGGCAATTTTATGGTTTTCTGATGCGCCAAGTCTCTACCAACTGTCCGCCGTTAATTTTTGGGAATTAAGCTCCAAGTCCAAAATCGTCAATCGGCTGAATTCAAGACTATCAAGTCTATAATGAATCTTCTTGTGTAGCAGAGCAGTAACAAGAATCCTAATCTTCCCCATTTACTTTGCTTCTTAACACATGCGTTTGTCAATATGTTAGACTCATGGGGTGAGATTCACTAGTAGAAGATGGCTTTCTCGTGAATCTTTGCGTCTCTGACAGCTACTATACAAGGTTCCAAAGCCCACCTAGACCTAAAACCCATCAAACTCTAATGTATTAAGCATCAGAATATATTTTAATTTTAAAGGAGCACAAAATTTTGTAAAAAGTCTTGTAGTACAGTGTTTATTGTCTCATTAATCACCTATACGTAGCGAGCTCATCAAGTCGTAATAAACATTTTTTGAATTTTTGTTATTAAATAGGCAGTAAATTTTTTTTTTGGATTTTAGGTATCCAAATACGTACTTTGGGCTGGCCCTGTGAGGTTCTGTCTATGAGAGAAGATGTAAGTTGTGAGGTCATTCTTGAATCCCATCCGGATAAACTACACGTTATTCCTCTGGGCTGTCTCATTGTAGCTCATACGACATGTTGTTTAAGGATCTAAAAGGCTTGGAAAGTCCTATATGTAACGCTAAGGTCGGTGCAGTAACGTAACTATGACAGTGATCTTCCATCTTCAGGCAAAAGTGACCATTACATAGAGGAAATGTGGAAGGAAAAAGCTTGGACCTGTTTTACAAGTTTAGATGGTTGTTGTTTCCTCTGAGCAAGAAACATTGGGTTTTAAATTGTCCAAGTTTGGAAACCGGATGCTTCGATGGTGGCGATTTTTTCCATTCTTCTTCCTAATTCCTTTGTCTTGAAGACCCACCTTTGGCTTGATTGGGATATATATAAGAATTAAGTTGGATACATATTAAAAACCCCAAAGAAGACAAAATTTTAGATACATGCAATATTTAAAATGGTGAGTGCGTATTTTTGGTTTTTAATTGAAACAAAGAATTTTGAAACAAATAAACAACAAAAATTCAAAAGTATGCAACACCTAGCTAGTTGTAAGAAAACTTATTGGGCTAGTTAGGAATGTAAATTTTCCTTGAGCCCAAGAAGATTGGTTTGAGCTGATACAATGTAAAAGGTAGGGTCCAAAGAAAATGAGACTACATGAGTAGAGAGATCTGATTTGGGCCAATTATGGGACTATCAAGAATTTGTGACAAACATTGTTTTAATCACCGAATGTCGCAATGTAATCTGTTTCAAAATCTATGATTTCAAGTGAACAAATTGTACTTATGTTAATCATGATGACTCTTAAAAGTACTAAACATCATCCATGGAATATCCACGAGTATGGTATAATTGACTCACTTGTTATTTAGACATTTAGTGGTTAATCTGAAATAGCAAGAGGGTCCCTGGCTTGTCCTTTTTTTTATATAAAATGTCTGGTAGTATATACATAAATACTCTGCTAAGACACATACTCCATGTTTTAGTCTGATTTATTAAATTAATTTGTCATGTTCTTCTCCAATAGCCAGGTAGACTCGAAAGATCATTCATAAACAAATTTAAATAGAATCGTGAGCATACATTGTATACTATGTAAGTCCGGATCCTTTCTATGTTTGTGGAATATGGAGCTTTTACAAATTATATTAATACAGGGAAAATAAATTTTGTTAATACGATATCAATTTCTGAAAAAGATAAAGCTTTAAAATAAAGACAAATTAATTTAATAAATCATCATTTTATCTTATTAGGAGAAAATCTTAAAACCTATTAGTTTAAAACATAGAAAATCGAAAGGAGTTATAATTAATAGATCATCTCTTACTAATAAAAGATGCTCATTGAGGCCTCTCAAGCCATCCACATCAGCATTTCTATAAAACCTTCTCATGATGCCAGTCAGCACATTTATGTTTTTCGTTTGCCTTAAACAGTTTTAAAACCCTCCACATAGACAAAAGAAATTATCGGCCAATATAATCAGAAACTCTAGAACCATACATGTCACGGAAACACGCCACATCAAACATGCTCAATCCTATCTCTCTCTCTTCCCTGAATACTTCGTAACGACGACGATCTATCTTCCTTGGAATTAATTGTACTGATCCCACGCCTTAAATCAGCCTCTCTTCCTTACCCATACGATTCCCCTACCAAAACACCAATTACTCTCCCTTGCCATCTTTGAATCGATTGCAATTCGAATGCCCTACCTTGAAGCACGAGCTCCACTGAACGGAGAAAGCTAGGTCTATCGATTCCTTTCCAGTTTCTCTATCTAACATTACTCTCCCATCTGTTTTCAGGAATTCTCATATTGGTCTATGGTTAGGGAATTAAAATCAAGGCTTCTAACGACTCAAAACAAAAAATGATGAGCAGCTTCAAAAAAAAATGAAATTACGATGATGTTTTACCAAAATAGCTATCGTTAAATCGGAACAAGAGGCCGATTCCATCTCTACGTATCGTTGAATAGTAGGAAGGTCGATTCTATCACATCGTTTATACAATTTATTCTATACAATGAGCTTTTTTTTGCGTTTGTGATTTAAGTCGGATTGCGATTTGACTGAGTAGAGTCGGATTGTGATTTTACACGAATTTTAAATTGATTTTTGGTACATGTTTCAAGCCATTCGATAACACATAGCACAACTCGAGCCACTTTGCCGAGTTTACGGTGCTAGATGGCTAGAGTTCAACGTGTATGTTTGTTTTTTCTAAGATTGTTCTTTCGCTAGGAAACTATGTCCACCAAATGTTGATGTGATTTAAGGAGAATGAAGTGATATTAGGGTTTCAAGTGAACTTCGTTAGTCGTTTTATTACCATGATTATTTAACTACTCACATGAAATATTTTTTATTTGGTTTCCTCAACCACATGTACAAGAAAGGTGAATAAATGAAGTTATAGATCATGAGTGATAATATTAATCTCCATCGTTGACCAGATATCACCAAACACTAGAGGAGTAATAAGGAACTACAAAAATCATCCAGCGATCTCAAAAGATGTTCTTTGTAAGACCCATGACCTTTTTTAATGATGTTTTGTGACTTATGAACAACTAGAAACTTTAAGGCATTTGAGTTGTCGGCCAACCTTATAGATCTACTCTTTTTGGTAAGAGTCTTCACATAATATGAATGTCAGACCATCTGATGACCAAAAAAAACACAATGGCTGCCGATGAGCAACAAGAAGGGACACCACCAATGAAATAAAATGTCACATACAGAGCCATACAAGTTAAATCAACAAGAGAGTAAAATTCCAACTTCAAAGGGTTTGCTTGAAGATCATACGAGTGGTTGGCACATGTATAATTCCGGTGACAAGGGGACAATGTAGTTAGTCTGCTGCCATGGTATATGTTCTCAAAGAAGAACAAGGGAATGTATCAATGTAACGAAGCTGGGTCACATGATATATATAACATGACAATCAGAGGCTAATATTTAAAAAACCTTTCATAGTATTTTCTACTTTATTTCATTTGGTTTTGTAGACAAAATTCTAAATAAAATAATTATTTTTAATGGTTTCCATAAATCTTGACACAAAAATCTACTTTGAAGCTATAGTAGCTTTAAAATGTAAATAGAAAAAAATCTACATGAACATTATTACTCATAGATAACTACAATTCAAATATAAAATTATAAACTTTACTTTGTTCATATACTCATAGAAATTAGTTTTCATTTGCAAATGTAAACGGCGCGTAGCGCCGGCGAACCCCTAGTTGATTTGTAAAATTAGACTAAACATGATAGAGAAAAAGATTTATCATTCAATATCTTAAAAGAAATAATGATGTGACACTAATTAACAGTTTGACTAACACTGTTACACTCAATATAAGTTTTAGCCAGATTATAAAAAAAACAAAAAAAAGTTGTAGCCAGATTGCGTTAGTTGATGCATGGATTTTATGAATATTCGTTGCCTGTAAGGATTTGGACAACACTATAGTTTATATTTGGATCGTAACCGCGAGGCATATAGTATTGACTGTTTTTCTTGTCTGTGGTGAATTTCAGTTTTCATGTAATTAAACTTTGGAACGTATGTGTAGGCTTCCAAAAGGATCCAAGTGAGCGATCCAGTCGCAATATACTTTTGACAATTGATTAAAACTACAAGTGGCCATGAAGATCGAAATTACTCTTCTCCAATAACCAAAGCAAATGCCTATATAATACCCTGCAAAATTCAACAAAAGTAGAAGGAAAATAAGATAATAAGAATGAATAACTTAAGTAAGCATGACATGAATTCAACAATGCCAACAAGTCTGCTTCTAAATTTCACAGAAATCTTAATCTGATCTCACAACCAGAAGCGACAACAAGTACAGAAATATACAATTTTACCATTTACTTGAGTTTCTAAGTTACTACATTAATTAGTAAACTTCCAAGAAGCTTTCTTAAGATTTGTAATGTCCATCGAAAGATTATTGCGAAAGTACAGTTACCTATAGGGCAACTTGATCGAGATACGACTAATATATACAACTTGATCAAAGTGGAATAATATAAAAAGATACCATGGACCAATCTGTTACATAAGATGGCTGGTGGCTTTTCTCTGTATCAATGGTCTACTTGTTTAAGGTTTATTTAATTTATATATAAGAAAATATATAAGGAGGAAAAGGGAATCAAAACTATAGGACCCGGGTTCACTACTAAACCATAATGGACGTTTTCACTTAAGTATATATATTAAAAAAATATAGTATGAAAAAGTAAACGAATCATCTAAATATATAACTATAGCAAAGTAAATAGGAGGGGAGAGATCTATAAAACTTGATCTATAAATAGAGCTGCATAAGGCAGTACTTTATCACATCCAAACCCAAAGCAACACAAACAAATATTTGCCCTCTACTCTATAGTTTCATATATATACAAGTAATCCAAAAAAGATGGCAATTATCAAGAACAAACACATAACCTTCTCATTGTTCTTGTTTTGTCTCATTGTGGCGTCTCCAATGGCTAACGCTCAGATTGGTCTTGGTGGTATCAATGTCCCCATTATCAATGGGGTTCTCTTTTGCACTATCAATGGCGCCCCTCTCAATGGCACTTCTGCCACGGCTTTCGCTAGTAAGTTGTCCATTCTTAACCTTATATACTTCTTATATATATATATATACGGACTAATATAGAGATTCACGAAATTATATTTATCTTAAAGACGAATATTCACAAAATATAATATATATGATCATGATCTCTTTGTTGACATACTAATCTAATGGTGCAAACTAACAGATGCGGTCGTCCAGCTCCAGTGTGGAAGCCTAAACACAGTTGTAGCAGAGACGATTACGAGCATTACCGGATTATTCACGTTTTCTACAACCGGAATTCAGATATCGCTTCCCACACTCCTCAACGACTGTCGTATCGTTGTCCCAACCCCTCGCTCCAGCTGCAGCTCCACCCTCCCTTCCACCGGACAACTCGTCTCCCAGTTAAGAATCGTCGGCAGCCTCATCTCCGGCCTACTCAACATAGTCGCTATCCTCCCAACCGGTTTTGTCCCCACAGTCTAACTAAAACCAAACTATAAACATAATTAATGTTCGGTTACAGTGTGTTCCCCTTCCGTCATGACCATTTACGTTTGTTTACGCATGAATAAGGTCAAGTTTTATCAGATTTAGAGATAAAGATAAGGATAATTTCTCATTAATTCATTAATGTATATACAATAGAGTATATATACTCTGTTAACTATGAGCTGTAATTACAATTTAATCTATATACAAGTATTAAGGTATATACTCTAATATCCCTCCCTCAAGTCGAATTCTTCAAGCGGGAAGAAAGAGACTTGAAAATGCATAACGAGACATCAACATCTTGAAGGTCTTTGGAGGAAGAGCCTTGGTAAATGCATCAGTTTCAAGAAACCAGCTCTCACCTTGTCACGAACAATGTGGCAATCGATCTCAATGTGCTTGGTCCTTTCGTGAAATACAGAATTGGAAGCAATTTGTATTGCTGCTGTACTGTCACAATATAAATTGATAGGACCAGGAACCTGAACATGAAGATCTTTCAATAATTTGCTTAACCAAAGTAACTCACAGGTAGTATCAGCCAATGCCCTGTATTCAGACTCAACACTACTCCGGGAAATAGTAGGTTGTTTCTTTGACTTCCAGGAGAGTAAGGATGTGCCAAGAAAAACATAAAAACCTGTGGTGGATCTTCTGGTATCCTGACAGGTACCCCAATCAGCATCAGAGAAGGCCTGCAGTCTTAGGTCAGGTTGAGCAGAATAAAAGAGTCCACGGCCTGGATCACCTTTGAGGTATCTGATAATCCTGTGAGCAGCCTGAAGATGAAGAGTTCGTGGCTGTGAGAGAAACTGACTTAACTTGTGCACTGCATAAGTAATATCAGCCCGTGTGATGGTGAGATAGAGTAGCTTTCCAATTAGAGCACGATACACGGTTGCATCAGGTAAGAGAGCACCACTTTCAGTTGTAAGTTGAACTGTTGAATCCATTGGAGTAGAGACTGGTTTGCATCCAAGAAGACCAACACTCTCTAGTAAATCCAGAGCATATTTGCGTTGAGAAACTGAGATCCCTGATTTATTGCGTGCTATTTCCAATCCAAGAAAGTATTTAGCTTGGCCTAAATCTTTGAGCTTGAAAGAGGCAGCCAAAACTGACTTGAGATCACTAACTGCTGCATCACAAATAACTGGGGTCAAGGTCGGCCAGTGAGACTTGGAAAGTTTTAGTATAAGCAGGAGGGATTGCTGGCAATAAGAATATCATCCATATAGACAAGTAAAGCAATGAAAATATTGTTAACATGCTTCACAAATAATGTGTGATCAGATTCAGATTGTGTGAAACCAGCTGCCAATAACACATCAGAAAACTTTTTATTCCACTGCCTTGATGCTTGTTTAAGACCATACAAGGACTTATGTAACCTCCAAACTGCATTAGGAGGTAGTGTTTCACCTGGAGGAGGAGTATATCCTGGTGGAAGATCCATATAAATCTCTTCTTCTAAATCACCATGTAGAAAAGCATTGGTTACATCCATCTGAGTAAGTGACCAACCTTGTTTAGCAGAAAGATCCAACAAAAGTTTCACTGTAACAAGCTTTGCCACTGGAGAAAAAGTATCAATGTAGTCCACACCCTCCTATTGAGTATATCCTTTAGCCAGTAGTCGGGCTCTATATCTGTCAATGGTTCCATCAGCATTGTGTTTGATTTTATAGACCCAACGACAACCAATTGGTTGTTTGCCCGCAGGTAAAGATACAACTGAAAAAATCCCTGTATCAACACAAGTTTGAAGTTCCTCATTCATAGGACCATGCCATTTCTCAGATCTCACTGCCTCTAGAAAAGTCTTGGGTTCAGATTCAGCAGAAATATTCAAGATGAACTGTTGGTAATGAGGATTCAACTTAGTGTAATCAAGAACTGATGACAGAGGATGTACAGTATTACCACTGACAGTAGGAAGATCATGTACCAAGTTGCAGTGATAATCCGCAAGATATGAAGGGGCACGTATGTTGCGCTTGGGTCTGTTTGTAGTAACAGGAATAGTAATATCTGAATCCACTGAAGAACCACTGTTATCAGATAAGACATCATTATTCGTAGGAAAGGGATTTTGAACAGGAATAGGAGAGGAAGTGGTGTTTGGAAGTGGAAGAGGAAGAATGTTGGAGTTAAAAAGATCTAAAGTAGAAGGAGCAAGATCAGAAGAGTGAAAAGGAAAAATGGCTTCATGGAATATGACATTTCTAGATATGGAAATGGAATGTGTTTCCAAATTTAGGACTTTATAGCCTTTGTAACCAGAGGGATAACCAAGAAAAACAGAAGCTTCAGCTCTTGGTGTGAATTTATGTCTATCTTTTGGATAAGTAGACACATAGCAAAGACATCCAAAAGATTTTAAATGAGAGTATTCTGGTTTTTTGTTCATAAGAAGTTCAAAAGGAGTTTTGTTATTAAGAAGAGGAGAAGGAGTTCTGTTAATAAGATAAACAGAAGTTTTGATGCAATCACTCCAATATTGAATGGGAATATTAGATTGGAATAATAGAGCTCTTGCTACATTAAGGATATGTTGATGTTTTCGTTCAACTACGGAGTTTTGTTGGGGAGTATCCACACATGAGAAAAAATGGAAAATTCCTTTAGATTGAAGAAGAGAAGTAAAAGATAATTCTGGAGCATTATCAGAACGAATGGCTTTAACTTTGTTATTATATTGAGTTTCAACAGAATTAAGAAAAGCTGGAAAAATTTGATGAACATCACTTTTAGCTTTTAAAAGATAAATCCAAGTTACTCTTGTGCAATCATCTACAAGAGTAAGAAAGTATTTAAAACCCTCATGAGAAACAACTGAAAAAGGTCCCCAAACATCCATATGAACAAGATCAAAAGGCTGTTTTGAAATATTATTAAGAGAAGGAAAAGATAAACGTTTTTGTTTAGCTAAATGACAAGTCTTGCAATGGGACCAATCCTTGAGCTTGGATTTGGAGATTGGAAGATCTTCAGAAAGAGCTTGGAGCTTAGCTAGGGAAAGAAGGATGACCCAGCCTTGAGTGCCAAAGAGAACTAGACTCAGAAACATTGAGATTGCAAACAAGAGAAGTAGAAGAAGGAGACTGTGAAGATGGAGACTCTAAATCCAGAAAGTAGAGTTTGTTTTCCAAACGACCTTTACCAATCATCAAGCCCCGAGTAAACTCCTGAATTGTGCAAAAGGAAGGAAAGAAATTCACTGAGTATGCACAGTCTTGAAGCAAGGAGCTTACACTGATAAGATTCATATGGAAAGAAGGAATGAAAAGGACATTACGAAGAAGAAGTTTATCTGACAACTTAACAGTACCAGATTGATTGATAGCAATCTGAGTACTATTGAGAAGTTTAACAGTGGTTTCAGATATACTATTAATGTCATCAAAGAGACTCAAGTTGCAACAAACATGTGTTGTTGCTCCAGAGTCAATGATCCATGCAGTAAAATTAAGGCATGATTCCAGGATAGTGGAGCAAACAAAGTTACCTGCTGAAGTGGATGCATAATTGACACCATGCGCTTCATTGATACTAGGTGTCTGACAGGTAGCTTTGGAGTTTAACTGAGAAGCCAACTGCTCAATTTGAGCTGGAGATAACTGAGCCAGAGCATTGGAGACTTGGTGAAAATGATCATGAACAACAGGGGAGTTGGTGATGACATTGCCAACTACATTATCTCTCTGTCCTCTCTGACCCTGACCTTGCATCCTTGAAGAATTGTTGAATTGTGGGTTGTATTGTTGCTGAGAGGGCATAGGAGGACGAGGTGAAAACTGCTTAGGAGCAAAAGGCTGATTAGAGGGAGTATTCTGTGTATTCCCATACGACTGATTAGAGGATTTGTATCCAAGAGGATAGCCGTGGAGCTTGTAGCATTTAGTGACAAGATGACCCTGCAAACCACAATAAGTACAGACGGGGCGTTGTCTAGGCTTGTAACCTCCTGAAAAAGCACCCACAAAATCACTTTGTCCAGAGTAATCATCAGTGATAGATGATGAAGAAAAATTCTGATCAAACTGAGGAGAAGGAGCATGCTGAGAACTCATCTGGAAAACCACAGAATCAGATTGAGGAACTTGCTTGATTTCCTGTGTATGTTCTTTCTGAATAACCATGTTGAGAGTTTTTTCCAAATCAGGCAAAGGATCAAGCATAATAATAGATTCACGGACATTCTCATATGAATCATTCAAACCAAAGAGGAATTTAATGACAAAGTTTCTTTCAAATAGATCCATCCATTTCCGATTAACTTCACAATCACAGCCACCACATTGACAAACTGGGAAGTCCTGAGCACTCTTAACCTCTTCCCAGATGGTGACCAACTTCGTGTAAAAAGTGTTAACATCCAAAGATCCCTGACGAAGACCAGCAAGCTTTTGTTCGATACGATATAATCTAGGAACATTGTTTTGCTTGAAACGTTGTAACAGTTTTTGCCAGATACCATGAGCTGTTTTCACATAGAGCACACTTTGGCCAATCGTTTTCGAAACAGAGTTAATCAACCAAGAACGTACCACATCGTTAACACGAGACCACGTCGCTGCATCTCTATGACCATCATCAGGCTTCGGAAGACTGCCATCGACGAAACACAGCTTGTTTCTTCCATTCAACGCCATGATCATAGATTGATGCCACGATCCGAAATCTCCAGCTCCGGTAAGACGATCTGAGACCAAAACTAAGCCGGAATGATCATTATTAGTGAGATAATAAGGATTTTCATAAGAATCGCGAGTCGGAGCCGCCATTGAAACGAAACCAGAAGCACGCGAGCAAAAGAAAAAGAAAAAAGAAAAAGAGCAATCGAAGCTCAAAAAAGATGAAACGAAACCCGATCTATGATAAACGAAGGTCAAGAAGAAGAAAAATGAGCTCAGATCATGGAGATCGAAGCTCGATGATGAAGATCTGAATGAGAAATCTTGTTGCGGAAGGGAGAAGACGCTCTGATACCATATCAGATTTAGAGATAAAGATAAGGATAATTTCTCATTAATTCATTAATGTATATACAATAGAGTATATATACTCTGTTAACTATGAGCTGTAATTACAATTTAATCTATATACAAGTATTAAGGTATATACTCTAATAAGTTTATGTCTCTGTCTTTAAAATAAAGCTCTTGTAACTTCTGTTTCCAGGGTCTTGCATGCATGTATAATGCTGTAATGAAATGTAACAAATAATTTCCCTTTCTATATATCCCTATCGTCGAATATATATATATTTACATCTGCATATAGTATATCATCTAACGAATGATAATATGGTTCCTTTAAGTTTTATGATTTAGCTCTCAAAGATTGCCTTGTACAGTTGTACCGTTTGTGGCTTGCCGTGTGCTTTTTTCAAGTTTTGTAAAACAGCTGCTTTTTCTCTAAATTAATGCATCAATCTTTTGCCAAAGAAAAATTCTCTTAAGTTTGCATTGTTACTTGTAAATAGATTAGCTCACTAACTAAAACTATGTATATTACTAGCTCATATATCTTGTCTTATTTCTATTTTCTCGAAACTCGAAACCCCATCGATCTAGGCATCTAGCCATGAATGAGCAGGTTGTCTCGGATAGAAAGGGTTTGCTAGGCCATAATGAGGCCGGGAATTAATCCCAAAGTACAACGATAATGATTTTTTGATTTATTAATTTTTTTGCACGTTTTAAAAGTTCTCGGGACCAAATTGAAACGGATTCAAACTTTAGGAACGACTTTTCAAAATACGACTTGAGACCAATTCATATTCTGAAGATTTGTTTTGAGTTGAAAATCTTTTTAAAAAATTGACATTTAATTGGATTTCTGACGCGTTGAATCTGGATTAATAGACACATCCAGTTTCGTACTTGCCTTTTATTTTTCTTTTTGGCATCGAATTTATATATATTATGATTAGGAAGAGAAACTAAGGGCATGTTTCCAATTAGTTATACTTCAAACCGACATAAGTATGCTTAGGGTTTCGCAGCCGCTTTAAAGAGATCCCTATCTCCTTTGCTATTTTGCGTATTTCGTACGGGCTTCCCTCCTCTCCCTTCGTTTTCTATCCTAAATTTCAACAGTACTAATCTCCCTCACTTTTATGGATTTTTATCTCCTTGTTGTTTATACGAGTGAATCATCGACTCTTCCTTGTTTATTAATTACCCTATATATTAGTGTGTTGGAAACAATTAATCTGCTAAACATGTGGATGTTAATTTGATTTTCTCTTTTGCTGTATTTATGAAAGCTTTACGTTTATGGTTTTTTATTCTTTTTAATAGCTGAACTGCTTATTGACAGTAATTAACAAAGCAGTGTAATAGGTGAAAATATGGCTCTAACGGACGAAGAGATCAAACAACTGTTCCTAGTCCAGCGGACATTGATGCAGATGCTGAAGGATCGTGGCTACTCTATTGAGGATTCTGAAATTACAATGACTCTAGGAGAGTTTATTGAGAAATATGGTGAAAATATGAAAAGGAAGGCTCTTGTTACTCTCAAAGCTAAGAAAAATGATGACAATGATAAGGTATATATGTATAAATATAAGGGTTGTCTTTATACATACAAGAAGCTGTGGATTATACAATTTGGTTTATTGGCATTTGCATAGAATAAAACTGCAAAAAAGCAGCATAATTTCGTGTGTTTGATTTTGTCTTGTGCTGTTGTATAGCTCTATATTTTCTTCCCTAATAAGGCCAAAGTTGGAGTCGCGGATATGAAGAAGTACATAAACCGGTTGAAATCTGAAAACGTTTTCAGAGCAATTTTGGTGAAGCAAGATATAAAAGAATTTTCTCGCCATGCTCAGCTTTCTATAGGTGCAGCCTATCCAAAATTTAATATTGAAGTTTTCCAGGTAATTAAAAAAAAAAACACACTTTTGATTTTTATTCTCATGATCATCACAAAATCCTAAACCATGATTGTGTACGGTTGGTTCAGGAGAAGGAATTGATAGTGAACGTTAACCACCATGTTTTTGTTCCTGAGCATCAAGCTCTTACCACTGAAGAGAAGCAACAATTTCTGGAGAGATACACAGTGAAAGAGAACCAGGTTTGTATTTTTTATTTTTTTTCCAAATATAAATAAAGTACATAGTGTTATTAGTCCTTTGTGTGATTAAAGTTTGGAACTTGTGGGTGTTGTTTAGCTTCCAAGGATTCACGTGACTGATCCAATTGCAAGATACTTTGGACTAAAACGTGGCGAAGTCGTCAAGATCACACGTCAGAGTGAAACCTCTGGTCGTTACGTTACTTATCGATCGCTATGTTATATAACCTAAACTGTTGGCAATGATTTATTTTTATTTTTATTTTTTTCGGTGTAAGATTATTTATTTATTTGATTGTATAAGAATTAAATCTTACGACGAACTTATGTTATATTTCGTTCCAAGATTGAAAATAGGAAAGTCTTCTTGGATTCTTGAAACAAACATGTAAAAGATAAGGTCCAACGAGGGCTACAAGATTACTTGGAATTCCGATCGAAAGGAAGTTGGGTTCCAGACACCAAATTCGAAGCTTGTTTGGGAGGAGTTAGGATGATGTATGATTCCGGCCTAGCTAGAACTCTTCCATTAGCCAAAACAAATTAAAATTCCTACTTTTTTGCATGAATAGAATCTTTGTTGTCTGTTAATATCTGATCTGATTAGGGCCAATAATGGGCCATGTATCTCGATTCAAGAAGACAGCTTGTGACCAATAAATAATCATTGAATGTTGCAATGTAAACTTGAACTGTTTCAAACATACACTCACATGTACTCCCAAAAAAAAAGGAGAGATTTTGTTAATAGGACACCATCAAAACGAATACTCAACCAAAAAAGAATTGACATTTTCTCTTGTTTGTCAAGAATTGAATTTTTATATATATTCGTTTTAGTTATTTTTATGGATAAAAGCTGAGGTTAAGAGAGAAGAGGTTGGCTTGGTATGAGGCCTTCTTCATCTTCTACATTAGGTTGGGCATTTCTGTAATAGGCATAAATTAGGAGTTGCATTGTCCCAAGCAAGAACCCCATTCCATTTGGCACCTACACACACAAAATACAAATTCGTTTTAACTATTATGATAATAAAAACAGTTTCTCTTTCCTATAAAATTTTATTATACCAAAATGATACTTACTAGTAGAAAAACATCATGTAGGAGGAAAGCGTAGACACCCCAAATCGCACCGTTTAGGAAAAGGAAAAACGACAACCAAAACGGCATAAATTGCACACTCCTCGTCGTCACAACCGTTTTCTGATCGGATCAATGATCAGATGAATTAGATTAAACGCTTATACATCGAACTGACCATCTACATTGATATATTTGGTTAAAAACGTGCTGAAAATAAAAAAACACTCTCCATTCAATTTCTGCCTCTTTTAGTGGTGGTTGATTTGATTATTGCTGAAAGGAAATATAACATTTATAATATACAACAGCCCAAGACCGGTCCTTGGGTAGCCTAATGAAGCAACAGCCTTGGGCCCTCAGGTTAAATACAAAACTTTAGTATGCAATAATTATATCCCCAAAAACTAAAATTATATAGAAAAATTTATATGTTTATGGTCAAGTAGATTATTAGCAAATTAAATCAAATTCTCTTATATCATAAGAAAGAAACATAGCTATATAATTTTCTTAAAAACTATTTTAAATTTCGTTTCAGCCTCTGAAAAACTCATTATCGGCCCAACGACAACAACAAAACTTTTGAAAACAAAAAAAAGTAGAGTTATTGTTAGCCTATATTATTGTCCCTTGTAGCAAGTGTGTATAAGATAGTGTGATAAAGAGAAAGAAGAGAGACTTACAATAGCTGAAAGAGGAGAACCATACATGGCGATGTTGAGAGTAGCACATATGAAACCCATTGAACTCGAACGCTTGTTTTCATCTTCAAACGCAGTTCTTGTTCCCACAATCGCCAAAACTGGGAAACACACGTTCAAAGCTAGAACCACTACAATTGTTTTCAACTGAAAAATAGAATTAAAAGAAATCAATTAGTTACAAATTAAACGCGTTCAAGTGGACCATATCTATCCTAGTTTGATTTAATATCATATAGCAAGTAGACATAATTTAATCCAACTTATTGATTAAACGTCATAATTAAAATCTGCTAATCAGATCTGAATCTGAGTCACACCAATGTTATCTCTAATGATCTGTCCATCAATTAAAAATGCATATTCAAACAAATTTTTATATCATATCATATAAAAAAAAAACACACAAAATGCAAAAACTGAACCTAACTTGAAATAGGAATTTAGGTGGAAAGAAAACGTACGAATCTGGGTTTGGGGACAAAGAAGAGGAAAATGAGAACATAAATGGATTCAGCAAGAGCACCAAAGCCATTGACCGTAGAAACCAAGTATTCACCAGGTGTCACTATTCCGTAATATGTCCATAACGACGAGCTCATCAACGTGCAAATGTACGGCAAACACTCGTACTCCTCCGTCGATCTACGTTGCACTATCCTCCAAAACGTCTCCCTAATTATCATTTTAATGTTTTAACTTAATTTGTCCATTTCCTATAGTTCAATCAATTGTTATAGATATTAATCAAAATCATATAGAAAGAGAGAGAGATATAACTCACACAGGGGAGAGGAAGACAAGCACCGATATCACATTTCCTGCATCGATCATATATATATATATATATATATATATATATATATATATATATATATATATATAACTAAGTTTATAATATAAGATAAATTTTGTGGCCATGTGAAATGTGTTGATTGATAATTTAAAACACGTGCAAAGAAGATGGTCATATTACCTATGACTCCAACATAGAAACTCAAGTCTACCATATCTGGGGATGGGTTTCTGAGGAAGGTAGATAGAGAAGACTTGAAAGAGGATGAGAAAGTGAGCAAATTATAAGGATGCGACTTTGTGTTTATCTGTCCACATACGATCGAGATATATATATATATATATATATATATATATATATATATATATAAAAGATATATATGTGAGTTTTTGGTAAAGTATTAATCAAATATAAATTCTCTTTCAAGACAGCAACATGAACAGAACATTAATGTTAGACTAAAAAGGCTCGTGTAGCATGTGAATATTTGATTAGGATTATAAAACTAGTATCGTGCATACCTTATTCTACACTTTTCAATTTTCAGGTTGAGTAATTCTTAATTCTTTTGTTCTATTTTGAAATTAAAAACAGTGATTTAATAAAGATTTGAACAGTTGTAATATCACGAGAACATAATTAACGGACATTGATCGGTAACGTGAAATCCACTAAGAAAACTTACATAAACTCATATTAAGAGTGAAAAAAAAAAGAAAAAAAAAAAGAGTGGAAACAACTTTCACTAAAAATAGCATGCTTGAACATTTTATATAGTAATAATGTATATCAATAAGAGACATTATTTTGCTGATCCTAAACTTCAAAAAAAAAAAAAAAAAAATCAAAGTTAAACATAAGTCATGGTCTCATGGACATATAAATTAAATGGATAATTCTAAACAAAATTCCACATTTGATGGTTTGTTTTCTAAAACTACTAGTATAATCCAAATACTCCAAAAATACCATAAACTTTAAGTTTAAGGAGTATAGCGCTTTGTCTAAATTTTGTTTTGTGACATTTTAATTTATGATATCTTTCTAAATGTCAATAGATATTTATTTATACATCTATAGCTTGTGGATAAGCTATTTATTTTTTCAACTAAACGAATATTTTGGTCATTTAAAAATGTTAATTTGTAGGATAAACCGCTAAATTTAAATTTTTATTTAAATAAATAGTTGACCCAAAAATATAATCTTAATTGCTTTACTTTAAAGTAAATAGTTGACTTACTTGTACAATCATAAACATTAAACCGACTATAATTTATAGTCTATTGATCCATGCAATTGTTCTTGTTGTGTCATTATCCGAATTCAGACTTGCAGATTGCATATTATTGTTTAGCCGAATTTGAATTAATTTATATATTGTATACTATTGGAATGGAAAAAAAACATAGACTTATCAATATCATTTTTATGTGATTTGTTTTACAAAGAAATTATGGTCCAACGTCCATACGTATCTTCATATTGAAGCCTTTCTCCATAAGGTTCGAACCCTATAAATATTATTTAAATGTGGAAAAATCTCTTTATAGAATTTGATCTTGCCTTCAAATTATATTACGTTTATAGGAATATTAATCTTGATTGACGATATAGAACTATCAAGTTCCTCTATATGTTTGATCGAATTTTCGAGATTGGATCCTTAACATAGTTAAACTTTAATTTTTAAAGACATGTTTATATTATACATACATATATGCCCAGCTATGTGGTGTTTTGAAAAATGTTAAATTTTAATTTTAAGTAATCAGTTTTCTTGAAAATCCACGACTCCACGTCATGGTATTCCTTTCCTACTGTCTAAATTCGTGAAACACGGGGTCGCTTAATTATTTGCATATAGGTCCAATCATTTCAAGTAATTTCCCACTTTTGGCCACTAACTTTAGAATGTTAATTGTATGACCCTTTGTCCCACCGAGTTCACTCGGTAACTCTGTCAACAGAGAAGAGTCCGAAACAAAAGAAGGTCTTTGTTGACTTGGTTCGTTGACATAAAAATGGCGACTTCGATGATTCAGAGATTGTTCAAGCAAGGCACAAAGATCGTCGGCGTTGGACTCAATTACGCTTCCCACGCCAAAGAACTTGGCAACGCCCTTCCAAAGGTACAAACTTTACTTGTATCTTCTTCACATTCTTTTGTTTTCCATAGAAATTGATCGAGCAGAATTCGAAAGCTGCCGCGTAAATTGTTTGTAACAACATACACCTTGCATTTGTGTTATTGATTGGATTCTCTCTCTGTTTTGGGTTTGTGATTTGCTGGAAGTAGGACCCGATTGTGTTCTTGAAGCCAACCTCTTCGTACCTGGAAAACGGTGGAACAATAGAGATCCCACATCCACTGGATTCACTTCACCATGAGGTGGAACTTGCTGTAGTGATTGGACACAAGGCAAGAGATGTCCCAGAACGGTTAGCCATGGATTACATTGGAGGTATTTTTACTAGCCTGCCTGTTTCATTACTGAGAAGTAACATCAAGGATATTAGAATCAATGTCTTTAACTTTAACAAGATGGAAATATATGTATTGGTGCATCATGGAATGAGGTAAACCTGTTTCTATGTGATGTTCTATAGCCATAAGCCAATGTTTGTGAGTGTGTTCTTCATCTTAGTATTTATATCCCTTTTTTAGTATGTATGTTGTTCTCATTTGTCTCCTTCTTTTCTAGGATATGCGCTTGCTCTTGATATGACTGCTAGGGAACTCCATGTTTCTGCCATGGTAGAGAACCATTTGCCTTTGGTATCAATGGATATTTATGGGTTTGTACATACATAGTTCCTACTTTTATTAATCTTCTTGCATGCTCGAGCTTTGCCATTTTACTAATCGATCGTTCCCTTGTCCTTTACGGTCTTTATAAGCTCGTTAGCCGTAATTTGGTCGAGTTTTCCGTGTGTGGGATCATAACATATGTTTGCCAATTGATTCAATGTTTCTATCCATCCTTTCCTATCAAACAAAAATCTTAGATCTGTGTTGTGTTTGCACTTTAATCAATCTTTTTTATGCAATTCTTTACTTAAGCATATATCATCATGGGGTGTTTAAATTCTCGTCTTCAGGCATCTGGTCTCCCATGTACGCTTGCTAAAGGACAGGATACCTTCACTCCCATCAGCTCCGTTGTAAGTCATGATCTGGAACTTTTTTCCCAAAATGCTAGTTTCACCAAACCATGTGAAGATTAGCCTCCACGGATTATAGTGTATGGGAAATGTGTTACTTTGAATGGATCCAATTATTACTCTTGTCTGGGATCACGGTTTATGCAGCTAATGTCATATAGCATATTGCTTCGTGTTATTGCGTTGCGCCCACTGGGATTTATGTATTACTGAGATTGGAATGCTTGTCAAAACCATTTGATATGCGAATACGCGTAACAAACATAACCCCTTAGCTACTGATAGCAAACACACTCTTAGCCTCTTATCTTAAAATTGGTTTCTTCTATCTTGTTTTAGCTACCAAAGGCAATGGTGGTGGTGGTGGATCCCAATAACCTGGAACTTTGGCTTAAGGTTTGTTTCCTCAAGCTCTGTGGTCATATGAAGCTACACTGTTCCCTTTTAGAATCTCCCACTCTGTAACAGGTCGATGATGAGACAAGACAGAAAGGTTGGACAAAGGATATGATCTTCAAGGTCCCATATCTCATCAGCTACATAAGTTCTGTAATGACCCTTTTCAAAGGAGATGTCATATTGACAGGTAAATATTTGTTTCCCACCTTTAAGATTCCGTAAAACTTGTAACATAGGAGATTGTAGGTTGATTTGTCTATAGCTGAGATCATTCAAGATAGAATTGTTTAGATAAAGTTTGTAAATATATGTATGTATAGGCACACCAGAAGGTATAGGACCTGTAAAGATTGGTCAGAAGATAACCGCCGGAATCACCGGTCTTTCTGAAGTTCAGTTCGACGTCGGTAGGCGTATAAAGCCATTGTTGAGATAGTGTTTTGTGAATCTTTTGTTGTATAATCTTACATTTATAAGAGCATTTTACCTAATTTCTCTTGCTATTTATCATATCTTGCTGACCTTTTTTGTAATGATACATGTTTAACATTCAACTAATTTGCCAATTATTTCTTTATTTATATCACAAAGATAGCTAATTATGTAATTCAGTTAATATAAAATTTAAAGTAACTAAATAATTGAAAAACAAAAGAGAAGTACGCGGCGAGAGACTTGTGTTCGTATCTCCGTCGCTTCTCTTCCACAAGTATACGACCAGAAGTTAGGTTTTCGTCTTCTTCAAGCTCACTCACCTCCGCCGCTTCTCTGCTCTTCACGATGTTGTTGTGTAGGATTCGAATTTTTCAGTGAAATGACTCCGAAGACATAGATTGTGAATGCGTAGATCCATTACCACTGGGTTTGCGTCGATAGTGAAGAAGGGGTTTCATCTTCATAGACATCGTCTTCAGATAAGTAATCACGGAGCTTCTCCGACCTTAAGCCTTTGTGGTTTCTGTTTCTGGATTCGAGCTTTCTCTAACTACCGGAAGATTTTGAGAAATGGTCTTCACAATCTTCAATTTAACGAGGCTCTTGATTTGTTCACTCGTATGGTTCACTCTCGTCCTCTTCCTTCAATTGTCGATTTCACTAGGCTGTTGAGTGTTATCGCAAAGATGAAGAGGTTTGATGTTGTGATCTCTCTATTCGAGCAAATGCAAATTCTGGGAATTTCACCTGTTTTGTATACCTGCAATATCGTTATGAATTGTGTTTGTCGATCTTCTCAACCTTGTCGTGCTTCGTGTTTTCTTGGGAAGATGATGAAACTTGGTTTTGAACCTGACTTAGTCACGTTTACTTCTCTGCTTCATGGATTCTGTCATTGGAATAGAATTGAGGATGCTTTAGCTTTGTTTGATCAGATTGTTGGAATGGGATTTAGACCTAATGTTGTGACATACACTACATTGATTCACTGTCTTTGTAAAAACCGACATTTGAACCACGCGGTGGAGATTTTTAACCAGATGGGGGATAATGGGATTAGACCGAATGTTGTTACCTACAACTCTCTTGTGAGCGGTCTTTGCGAGATTGGTAGATGGAGTGATGCAGCTTGGCTTCTGAGGGATATGATGAAGAGGGGAATTCAACCTAATGTCATCACTTTCACTGCTTTGATCGATGCGTTTGTGAAAGTAGGGAAGATCATGGAGGCTAAAGAACTGTACAAGGTGATGATCCAAATGTCTGTATATCCTGATGTTTTCACTTACACTGCACTGATCAATGGGCTTTGCACGTACGGTCGCCTAGATGAGGCTAGGCAAATGTTTTATTTGATGGAAAGCAATGGCTACTACCCAAATGAAGTGACTTATACTACTCTCATACATGGATTTTGCAAGTCTAAGAGGGTAGAGGACGGGACGAAAATCTTCTATGAGATGTCCCAGAAAGGATTAGTTGCAAACACAATCACTTACACCGTTCTTATCCAGGGTTATTGTCTGGTGGGCAGGCCCGATGTTGCCCAAGAAGTTTTCAATCAGATGGGTTCTCGCCGTGCGCCTCCGGATATTAGGACCTACAACGTTTTGTTAGATGGTCTTTGTTATAATGGGTACGTAGAAAAGGCATTGATGATATTCAAATACATGCGGAAGAGGGAGATGGATATTAATATTGTTACATATACTATCATTATCCAAGGGATGTGCAAGGTTGGTAAGGTGGAAGATGCTTTTGATTTATTTTGTAGCCTTTTCTCCAAAGGAATGAAGCCTAATGTTATAACCTACACCACAATGATATCGGGATTTTGTAGGCGAGGCTTTATTCATGAAGCTGATGCACTGTTTAAGAAAATGAAAGAAGATGGGTTCTTACCAAATGAAAGCGTGTATGAGTAGGTGCCTCCGTAAGCTGAACTCATGAGGAGTTCAGGTTAGTACGACGCTTTTGATCTCAAGCATATGATGGTACAGCTGCAGTCTGGGGAGAGGAAACACAGGTTATAAAATGCCTTTCATAATCACAGGTTATAGCTCTATGTTGTATTGGATAACTGAATTTTAACCTCCACTCTTTTCGTAAATTATAAATATTCAGGTGCAATAAAGAGTGTTGCCATACCTCGTCAGCTACATAGGTTCCGTAATGATTCATTTACAAGGAGATGTCATCTTGACAGGTATTTGTTTGTTGTTGAAGGTTCTTTCCATCTTTGAGATTCCGCATCGAACCAAAGTTGTAGATTAGATTACGGAAGTGTATATAGTATTCTTAAGAAAGTTGTTGAATGTATAGACAGAGGACCTGTAATGATTGGTTAGGAGATACGTTCGGGAATTAACCGATGCTGCCCTTGTTCTAAAGCCGTTGAGCTAGTGTCTGTCAAATGAACTGTTGTAAGGGCTAAGAGGATTTATCATTTGTGACGAAATTGTGTTGAACTAACTCGTTCTGGACTATACTGAATCAAAGAGCAGAGTTACACTACAACAGTACAACTGAAACTAGATATATGTAACACACAATATTCATTTTACACGAATTGAGGAAACATATACTTATTATACTTTTGGAACATAAGTTTCAATTTACAGATTTTTAAAAAATGTAAACACTGTATTTTAGAAAATTAAACTTCTCTTACTACTTTATTTGAATTACATTACATTGCTGAATTCATATTTAACAACACATATAGTCCAAACACGATTGGTTAATGTCAACATCATATGAGAGGCGAAGTAAAAATAATGAAGTACGCTCATTCTAAACGTCTTATCACTTATGTATAATAATTTAATAACAAAGGTTGATGACTAATTTGCGCAATATGCGTTCTACGTCTCACGGTCATCAAGCAAATAGTAATTAAGGTACTCATTTACAACAGAACGTAATATTATTCTATTACGTTCTCTTTCTAAGAAAATAATGTGGAATCCCCGTTTAAAAAATGACAGCACCATTGAAGATATCAGTTAGATATTAAAGTATGTATAATTTATAAGTAAAAAAAAAAAAAACGATCTCTAGGTATGTAATTTAATTTTTCCTATATTGATCTCTTTCAAATAAAAGAAAATAGGTTTCCTTCTCTATAAAATGGTATTTACTTTTCATTAACTATCAATACATGAAAAAAAAAAAAAAAAAACTATTAATACGTAATCGTCATCAACATCTGAATATTCATATTAAAAATATATTTTTGACGGACGGAAAACAAAAACGTAAAAAGTGTGAAGAATCTTTTGACAAATTTACGTAGTTCCTATAAAGGGAAATTTCGTTTACAATTCTTAAAAAAAAAGACGCTCACAAAAATGCCCCTTTTTCAATACTCCTTTTCAAAAATGCTCTATTTGGCTGTCCATTTTTAAAAATACTCCTTTTTATGTACAAAATGACTAAATTACCCTTCTTTTAATAAAAGATATCACAAATATATAAGTAAATATAACAAAATTAGGTCCACAAAATACAAAATATTTTTTGGCGGGAAAAGTGATCCTGCAATTTTTCCTGCCAAAACACTTGTAAAAACTTGTAAAACCTTTAAAATACCTTGTAAAATTTTCCCGTAAAATTTTTTCCCGCCAAAAATTTTTTTTTGCGGGAAAAGTGATTCCGCAATTTTTTTGACGCTAAATTTTTGGCGGGAAAAATTTACAAGGTATTTTGAAGGATTTTTACAGGGTATTTATAAGGTTTTACAATGTATTTTAAAAGGTTTTACAACGTATTTATAAGGTGTTTTGTTAGATATTATAAGATTTTACAAGCTATTTTATAAGGTTTTACAAGTTATAAGGATTTACAAGTTTTTTATAAGGTTTTACAAATTATAAATACCTTATAAAACTTTATAAGTACCTTGTAAAATCTTTTAAAATACATTGTAAAACCCAGGGCCGGCCCAAGTCTTTTTGTTGCCTAAAGCAAAAATATATTTGGCCCATTCACAAAAAGCTATTGGAAGAAAAAATATACAAATTCTTATTCAAATAGGTCTGGAACTTGGCAGAAGGAAGAAGTCAGTTAGTGCTTTTACCACTAGACCACCAACATTTTTCAAAAATGATGCCCCATATTTTGTTAATAAAATCTGATGCCTAAAGTCCTAGTTTCACCAGCTTTAGCTCTGGGCCGGGCCTGGTAAAACCTTACAAAACACTTGTAAATATTCCGTAAAATCTTTAAAATACCTTGTAAATTTTTCCCGCCAAAAAAACTGCGGAATCACTTTTCCCGCGAAAAAAATTTTTTGGCGGGAAAAATTTTTACAGGAAAATTTTACAAGGTATTTTAAAGGTTTTTTACAAGTGTTTTGGCGGGAAAATTGTGGGATCACTTTTCCCGCAAAAAAATATTTTGTATTTTGTGGACCTAATTTTGTTTCAAATAAGGGTAAAATAGTCATTAAAAATTAAAAGAGGGCAAACTTAAAAATGGACTCTCAAATGGGTCATTTTTGAAAATATGTATTGAAAAATGGGTATTTTTAACAATTTCTCTAAAAATAATATGATTATAGAATAATCTAGGAACTTGAAAATTAGTTGCTGTTAATTATTGGTTTCTCAACATCATTAGAAATGCGGAGACAAATTAAAAAAACGAAGTACGCTCATATCTGTTGATACATAATACATTCTAGAATCACAAAAATAAAAAGTTTGCTAATATTTTTTTAAAAGCAAAAAGTATATAAAATATAAGCAAAACAAATCTAAATTACAAGCAAAACATAGGTAAACTTTATTGTTGTTTTTACATATCAGAGAATTCATCTCAATTTCGTTTGTAATGGGATTAAATATGTGACCTTAGAGACGCCGCGTCTCAGACGCGTGATGCAACAATCCCTTTTATCATATCCAAAATACGTGCTCTCTGAATTTATAGAAAAATGCTTTCATGTGAGGTCAATAATCAACCAAGAGGGATGTTTAATTGATACGTGTCTTCCTTATTTTTTCTCGGATGTAGCAGATTGCTTAGTGTTATTGCGTCCACTGGGATTTATGTATGTAACTGAGATTGGAATGCTTGTCATCACCATTTGATATGCGAATATGTGTATGATAAGACATTAGCTACTGATGGCAAACACACTCTTGGCCTCTTATCTTTTATCTTGTTTTAGTTACCAAAGGCAATGGTGCTGGATCCCAATAACTTGGAACTTTGGCTAAAGGTTTGGCTCCTCAAGCTCTGTTGTCATATGAAGATACACTGTTCCCTTTTAGAATCTCCCACTCTGTAACAGGTTAATGATGATACAAGACAGAAAGGTTGGACAAAGGATATAATCTTCAAGGTCTCATATCTCATCAGCTACATAAGCTCTGTAGTGACCCTTTTCAAAGGAGATGTTACATTGACAGGTAAAATATTCAATATTACCAAGTTCGTGCTAAGGGAAAAAGATCATAAGATCGTCGGATTCCAGGACAAAGCTAGCTGGAGATTTTGTTCGTCAAGTTGGTGTCCATATCTCGCTAATCTCCAAGCCTTAGACGTGTCGATCTCTAAATGGTTCTTAGTTCTAATCATAGTTAAAAATAATTTCATAGTATTACATGTTGGTGACTGGTTGAGTTACCCTATTAAGTATTATGACTTCTTGTTTGTGTTGCTATAATTACTTGAGCCTCACGATAAGGTTCTCTTGCATAAACAAAAGTTCTATTGCATAAATAAAAGTCCAATTTAGCTTAAGTTTTTTATATTATATTTAATAATAAAATAAACATGTTATAAGAGTAACAAAAAATAAACTATGGATTAAAATATGTTAACTAAACTATGTAATCTGTAAAGCTTAACTGCTTTTGCATATTTACTATGGATTAAAAAGAATCACTGCTTTTGCATATTTACTATAAAGCTTAACCAATTAGAATTGTAATATAGATGAATTCATAATTCATTTGATATTAAATGGCATTTTAATTATTTAATGATGTAATCTGTGTATAAAAGATTAAATATGTTATTTCCCAATTTTCCTGAGATTACATATGTGGTCTTTTGTATCTTTGCTTGGCATGATCACCATTTTTCCCTTGGATTTTTCAAACTACAAATAGTAAATAGTTTGCCAAAAAAAAAAAAAAAAAGTGTAGAAGAAGGGCAGAATAGTCAAAGAGAAAACTCGCGCGTCAACGTTGGCGTCGTCTTGCCAAACTTGCCAACAATAATTAGACTCTCTCTGCACTTTCTCACGAACCTCTCTGTCTCGTCCATTACTTCAAAACCAAATCTTTCATCATCTTCTTCTTCTTTCTTCACCAGTTGACTCTCTTTCTATCTCTCTCAATCTCTCTGAATCTCTCACTCTCCACCATGAACACCAACGACCCGGATCCGATTCCGTTTAACAGACCCGAAGACAACATCTCCGGTTCTAAAACCTACGCCATGAGCGGCAAAATCATGCTAAGCGCTATAGTAATCCTCTTCTTCGTCGTCATTTTAATGGTCTTCCTCCATCTTTACGCTCGTTGGTATCTCCTCCGTGCTCGTAGGCGTCATCTCCGTCGTCGTAGCCGTAACCGTCGCGCTACGATGGTTTTCTTCACCGCTGATCCTTCCACCGCCGCCACTTCCGTCGTTGCTTCACGTGGACTTGATCCAAACGTCATTAAATCTCTACCCGTTTTCACTTTCTCCGATGAGACTCATAAAGATCCGATCGAATGCGCCGTTTGTTTGTCGGAATTTGAAGAGAGCGAATCGGGTCGGGTTTTGCCCAATTGTAAACATACTTTTCATGTTGATTGTATTGATATGTGGTTTCATTCTCATTCCACTTGTCCTCTTTGTCGCTCTCTCGTTGAGCCTCTCGCCGGAATTGAATTAATGGAGGCGACGACGGAGGGGGAAGTTGTGATTGCGATTGGTTCTGATCCGGTTTCTGCAATTGAACCGGGTTCTAGCTCTGGATTGAGGGATGAACCACATGGATCTGGATCTTCTCCGATGCCGACGGAAGATTCCGGGAGAAAACCGGCGGCGATTGAGGTTCCGAGGAGGAATTTCAGCGAGTTCGAAGACGAGTTGACTCGGAGAGACTCGCCGGCGAGTCAGTCGTTTAGATCGCCGATGAGTCGGATGTTATCTTTTACTCGGATGTTGAGTAGAGATAGAAGAAGCGCTTCGTCTCCTATCGCCGGAGCTCCGCCGGTATCTCCGTCGTTGAGTTGCCGGATACAGATGACCGAGTCAGATATCGAGCAGGGAGGAGAAGAGAGTAGGTGACATGCCACGTGGTGGTGTCTGATTGGTTTGATTTTCATCTCAACAGGCTTCTGTCTATGTGTTGATTTCAGCGCCCGTGGACACGTGGCGTAATCTGAGCTTCCAGCGAATCGATATTTACCGTTTATTATGATTAGATTAGATAGATTAGGTAGATTTGTTTGACGATGTACAAAGTCAGTCATCTACATATTGAATCATTTTCCATTTATTTTTCCATAATTCTTTTTTTAATTTTCTAATTTCTACAGACTCTTTCTGTAATAACAATCCAATGGTCATAATTGTGATAAAAGACTTTGCATAAGTTTTTCTTTTATTTTACCAATTTACCTCTCCTCAATTTTTATTTTGAGGGATGATAATCATTTTAAATATAGAACTGTAATTTGTGATCATCTTATTAAATATTGTTTTAAATAAATTAAACTGGGCGTGCTTCAAAACATAGTTAATTATGAAACACAATTAGCTATTTCCTTTAAGATTAATCCAACCTTTGATAATAGGATTCTGAGTCTGTGACACATATATTATTGTAAGCATTCTTAATAATACTACTAGTGATATCGAACGTAATGTATCATACTGTCATCATGTTTGATCGGACAGTATATAATTTGTATGATAAATTAAGATAAACATGCAACACAGATAGTAGTTTCCACCGATTCCATGTGAGTCCGTGCTCAACCCGACTACGACTTCCGAGTTTTGACTCTTTAACAATGGGTCTGATATAAAAGTTAGAATACTTTAGTAGAAATGAGAAGAAAAGTTCAGAAGTTAATTTAGAAGAAATGTTTCTTCTCACATATTAAAGAGAGAAGTATTTCTCTGTTTTCTTTTACTTTTTGTAATTTTCAGCAGAATTTTTTTTATTCTCATTTCTTTTTGACTGGTAAAAATTCAGTAGAATCCAGAAGAATAAATTTTCTTCATCTTTTTATTCTTTCGCTTCAAATCTATATCATTATTTTTAGTTTTTTGTCCATTCATTTGGGTCTGTTTGATATATAAAATGTATTGAAATATATCACTCTTGATTTTTACGCGTTAGTGGACCAAGTCTTATGCTTCCTAACCACACCACAACGTGATATTTTAAATACCAACTACTTCATGTATCCAACAAAATGGAGTAACAAGTTACCAACTCGCATTATCTCCAACTCCAATCATCAATTTGTTTTATCAATTAGAAAAAAAAACATATAAGTTTCGTTAATGAAGGGCAATTTAGGTGGGTAAAGCTACAATATAAAGACGTAAATGAAGGGCAATTTAGGTAGATGTATATGTTGCTAACTCATACAAGTAGAAGACAAAAAAAATAAAGAGAGTACACTTTCCAGGAACTTTCCATTGTCAATTAGATGACCGCAAAAGTCTTTTGTTGCTTTCCCAAAGACCCAAAAGTCCAAAAACAGTGTCGAAATAAGGAATTAACCTGTAGATACAGTCATAGACTGATTTGGAATGTTTCTTGCTTTTTATACTTTTATATGCAACGTTTTATGTCTCTTCTTATTTTGTACCATGTATATACATTTATCTTTATCATTCTTTCTAAGAATTATTTTTCTCGCTGAAAATTATTTTTCATAAGTGGATGAGTCCACAAACATGTGATAAACTAACGAAAATAGATGAGCAAGTGGACAGATAAAATGAAACTGACATAAGATATAGTTACAAGTTGAAATATGTCGCACTAGGCATCTACTTATGTAAGAGATATCTATGAACATAAGGCATTGCCAAGTTCTTGATTTGGTTCTCTTGAGATACAGAACATCATTTTATGAACAATACTATAACATCCGAATTCTTCAAAATTTCCACAAGCACTCTTTCTAATATATTAAAAGACCCTCTAAAAGTGGAATTTTCATTGTTATTACAACATATGCTACTTCTTCTGGCAATGCCTTCATTATAACTTACACAAATGACAATAACAGAGTTTCGTAACTGTCTGACCTAACTAAACAATCTAATTTGAGTAGTCACAATTTCCCCAAAGACTTTCCGATTGAAGAAATTTCAGTTACCTCAGCTACATCTTCACATCGACCCTTTCGTCTCTTCTTACTGTTTGGTGTCCATCTCGTGCCAACACTGTTGATCTTTGAGATCTTTAGCGAGACTTTCCGAGTCTGGCTTGAGACAGAACATGTGTTTGGCTTCTTTGGTGGTGGTGACTCGTGAGATTTGCCTTTGGTTACTGGAGACTTAGCTCGTTTCTGGGGTAACTGCATCGCACTGTTCTCATTCTTTCTATTATGATCTTTGAGCAACCGAACACTGAAAGGTTTAACCGCTGTATAACACATTGGTTCGTTTGTGGAGTTCCCAGGTTTTTCCAGATCAACGTCTCCATTGTTCACCTGTGCAAATCATAATTTAAATGTTGAGCTCTTGTTTGGTAACAGACATAATTGTTTTCCACCGTGACTTACCAACTGGAGAAGCGCAGAGAAGGCCCGAGCTACCTCGTGCTTTTCTTGGTCTTTCATAAGATCGGTAAAGGTCTCGACGTTTCCGCTCTCTTCAACTGTCAGTTTGTTAATAATCCTTTCTCCATATTCTTGAATGTCAAAAGGAGGGTGTAGCTCCTGATCATAGAAAAACAAAAACCAGTGGATATAAAAAATACATCAGATCTCTTGACTTTAAATGAATGAATGGTCTCAGAAACTAGGAGAAACAATATTACTTGTTCTTCTAGGTTTTGCTCAATTTTCTGTTTCCACGTTGAAACCCGAGCAGCCAGATCTGTTTGCTTCTCACTTTTAGCTATGTTAGCGAGAAGAGCATCCTACAAAATAAAAACCAAACATTTGAGCTTCCATAGGAAAACAGAGCAAAAACCTTACGCGGTCGACTGAAAATTGGAACAACTGTACTTCCAGTGTATAAAATCAAACCAATGTAGTTACCAGGTGTGAGCGGCAGAGATCTTCCAAGCTTTCTTGACAATTTGATTCGCCGTTTTCAAATCCATCATAGTTGTGAAACTCAGCAGCTCCACCATCATTCTGCATTAAGTTCAAATGAGCGGATAAGGGTTTCATATATTTTGACCAAAATAGATCAATTAGTGAAACTACTCACCATATTGAGAACATCTTCATCCATGAAGGGATGTTCTGCATCATCACCATCATGCTCTCCACAATCATGGAAGTCACCATTATTGGCTTCATCATGGTTATCCTTATCATTGTCCTTGTAATTGCCGTTAGCACCACAAGGTTGGTTTCCTCCATTCACAAGCATCTCTCGAAGCTGACATCATAACTATCAGTTTTTTTTTTTTTTTTTGTTTTTTTGTGATATTCAATATAATATGAAAGGTATAGAGAAACACAGACCTTCTCGTAATAGGGAATGTCTTGTGATTCTTGCTCGCCTTTACTAGCACAACCGCGCATCTTCCAAATTCCAATAAGCTCCGAACTGATGGGACCGTCTGGTCTAGCGAGAGGGAACATGGAAGTCATATGGTCCTTGGTAATGCTCCAGCCAATCTTTTTGAAATTTTTTACTGCTCATGGAATAAAGTAGAACATCAACTAGAAGTAAGGCGCAAATGGAAAGATATAGCTTCAGACATTAATCAAGAAAACAATAGCCATTTCCCAACCTTTTTTGAAAGGCTTCACTTTCAACTTCCCTGGTTCATAGGGATTCAGTGGCTTCCACGGATCATCTTCATCAGCATCTGTATCACTAAAATCCATGGTTCCTCCATATTCATTATCCATGTCAAAACCATGATCATTATCTCCAAAAACAGGAGGCTGAGACCCTTGGTCACAATTTTGAACATTGGGACCATTCCCACCTATTGGGGACAAGTTGACATTGGTGCCCTGATTCTTTCCCACAGATGACTTACGAGCACTACCTCCAGAACGTCCCACAGATGAGTGAAAACTTTTACGAACTGAGCTACCTCTGTGAGCATTGTTCTTTCCTTTACCAGCATAGTCATCACCTAAGAATTCATTCACCGCTACAGCATCACATGGGTCTAATAGAATAAAATCCCGGTAGAGATGTGTAGTTGCCAACTGCAAGACAGGAAAGTTAAAACGGAGTTCAAGCCCCATGCTCTTTCTGTTTCTCAATGCTCTAAGAGATGGAAGAACATGCTATACCAGATAGGATTCCAATTCTCCTCCGTCACCACTAGTATCCAAACAGTCACCTTCAAGAACAACTAGATTCGCCGGAGGCTTAACAAATTGACTTGGACAAGTATCTCCGCCAACCGAACTGTCCAATCTATTCTTTGTGTCCACTGTATTATAACAACAATAGCTGGATTAGAAACCTGCTCTATAGAGTAGCACAAGGATAAAATGTCAAATTTCAGAAATTTCTCTACCTGGGATGTCATCTACATTCCAGAAGAGATCATTTTCTTCTTCATCAACCTGACGTGAGGAGCTTGCCTCAGCCTCGTTTGATGTACCTTTGGACTGTTCCTGGTCTCTGTTTGAAAATAACAAGAACAATTGACTAATCAGAGAACCTTTGTTAACTTTTTAATGCAAAGTCTTGGCAATATTGTGATAATCACAGCCTTTGTTTGATAAAGATACATGGTCATAATGATTGGGGTTTTAGAGTACATATTTTCTCCACGAGTTGCATAAGGAAAAGGAAGCAAATTTCCAAGTGAGTAGCAACTAGCAAGGTGACCAAAACTAAAATTACATGAAATCAGAAAGTAACAGCTTAAACACAGCAGCTAAACCCTGAAATCAGAAATCAGAAAGTAACAGCTTAAACACAGCAGCACCAAAACTAAAATTACATGAAATCAGAAAGTATAAATTTTCTTCATTTGTGAACACAAAACAAAACCCATACACATAAAGATAGATGGAATCAAAGTTAGCCCCTAAACCCTGAGATGCTTGGAGTATCTAACACAAGTAGTTCAATTTCACTAAGGAAAAAACAGGGAATCCAAAGGACAAACCTTTGCTTCGATAGAAACTCCAACGTACGTAGAACTAAATTGTACAAGTACTCCACTTTCTTGCTATAAACCTGAACCGAACCCTGAAGCAGCAAAGCAGCTACAGAATCCATGGGAAAACACATTAACCCAATTTTCAATGACCCTAAAATCGAATGATATGAAATTTCACGAGAAAGTTCTGAAATTGAAGCAAAACCCACATACCTTCAGCGAAATTCACAGGAATTTGCTCATCTTCTTCATTCCCAGTGATTTCTCCGGAACAAATTTTGAGGAGGTACTCTTCTAGCTTCTCCGACAAATCCACTTCCCAATTAGCCACCAAATCTCTCTCCGGCTGTACCGTATGAATCCTCTCGCCGCGGACTCCACCGCCACCGTGACTCGTCATTCTCGGTGGAGGCTCACGGAATTTAAGCTTCTGTATGGAGAGATTGGATAATTCATAACCCCAATCCCAAACCCCCAAAAAGAAAAAGCTGAAACCCTAAAAACTGTAAATTGTGATCTTGACAAAAAGAGAAATTTCCAAAGAAATCTCAGGTTTTTTGGTGAAATTTGAGAAATTTTGCTGGGAGGCGAAGGGATTGTGAGATGTAACACGAAGAATTCAAGTGATTAGTGAAGATAGAAAGGAACTGTGAGAGAGAGAGATTGAGAGAGTTTGGGGAAAGAGTGATACGAATTATTTTGACTTGTCTAGATTTTCCCGCTCCTCATCAAATGCAAATAGTGTTACTATTGGGCCTAATTCATTTGGGCTTAATTAATTTTGTGACATCACTATCCAACTAAAGTATTCAGAAATTGCCACGTAATCCACCTTCTTTTAAATCGTGTCATTTATTTGAAAGAATCATTTATGATTTAACAACTGTAGCGAGACTTTAACAGGCCTTGAGCCTTTACTTTAAAGCCCAATCAAAAAGTCTTGAACTTATTACCAATCAAACCCCACTTATGTGTGTGTACTTTGGTCGGAAGCGGAAGTATATATCCTGATGATGATGAAGCAGATGGAGTAAATTAATTAGAGATTCGATTGGAAACAATGACTAAGATTTCGGATCTTCCACGGGATTTGACAGAGGAGGTGCTCTCTAGGCTTCCGGTGACATCTATGAGAGCAGTGCGATTTACTTGCAAAAATTGGAATAGTTTATCGAAAGATCGGAGCTTTAGAAAGAAGCACCTGCGTGGAGCAATATCAGCAGCGAAGAAGAAGCAGACGAAGGAGTTTCAGGTGATCATGATGATTCAATATAGGGTTTATTTATTCAGCGTCAATCTCCTCAATCCATCTATAGAGCGTATAGGTAAACTTATTAGCCTAGACGTTGAAGATCGTGTCGATATATCTAAAATCTTTCACTGCCACGGTTTATTGTTATGCATCACCAAAGACATATCTAGGCTTGTGGTTTGGAACCCTTACTCTGGGCAAACTAGGTGGATCCAACCTAGAAATTCTTACCACAGATTGGACAGGTACGCTTTAGGATATGAAGAGAAGAAAAATTCGTGTCGTAGCTACAAAATCTTGAGATTTATGGATAATTACGAGGGCGACAACCCACCGTACCTAATTCGTGAGTTTGAAATCTACGACTTAAACTCTGATTCATGGAAGGTTGTTGATGTCCCTCCTGACTGGGAAATAGAGTATTATCACCGTGGCTTGTCTCTCAAGGGGAATACTTACTGGTTTGCTCAAGAGAAGCTTCCAATATTCCCACTCGGAAGAGTGGTATCAGATATGGCTGATTTCTTACTCTGTTTTGATTTTACAAGGGAGAGGTTTGGACCGCGTCTGCCTCTGCCTTTTCACTCTTTTGTTGAAGATACTGTGACTCTATCTAGTGTTAGAGATAAGCAACTTGCAGTGTTATTTCAGCCATGTTATGCATCTACCGTGAAGATATGGATTAGTAGCAAGATTGAGCCCAATGCAGTGTCGTGGAGGAAGGTTTTCTTAGCGGTTGATATGAAACCACTCACTGGTTTTCAGTTTGACATTAACGCTGGGAGTTTCTTTGTTGACCAGAAGAAAAAGGTCGCCATGGTTCTTGATAAAGATAGATTCAGATCTAAATTAACTCGCAACATAGCTTACATCATTGGAAAGAAGGGGTATTTCAAAAAGGTGGATCTTGGAGAATCTACAGTGCCATCTTGTGCCTCACTTGTGTGCTCTTACGTTCCAAGCTCAACGCAAATCTAGCAAGCTTCACCACGAGGCAACCCTAATATATTCACGTTGTTTACTGTTTTTCTTTTCTCGTCTTGGGTTAATAATTTTGAGATTGACAATTGTTGGTTTCTCAACATGGCCTATGCTTTCTTTACTCTGTTCATCCTTCTATATCTAATGGATAGTTAATCAAGATAATGTATATGATCTCGATGGCTCTTCCAACATGTCTTTGAAACATATGAAGGCATCTTGAATTGCCTTTGCCCCTAAAAGTCTATATTTTTCCTTGGAAGCTTTCTTTAGCATTGCTAATCAGCTGAAAGGAAAGGGTATCTCTACTCTCTCAGCTCATCTTTAACCTCTTGTATAGTTGATTGGTCTTGGAGATTTACTCTATTTTTCCAGACTAATAACTTGTTGGAGGACAAAGCTAAGCATACCTGACCTGACCACAAAAATTTAGTAGAAATTGGTTTCTACCTCTGCATGTCTCACCATAAAAGCTCATCATCGTAGATCATCATGTATGCTTTATTGGAGGGATGGACTTGTGTTTTGCCGGTATGACATTTTTGAACATAAACCCTTGTTGTGTGACAAGGCCTGAAAAGGACTATTACAATCTCAGGTAAGAATTTCCATCTTGACCAACAGATTTTGTTATTGCAAATAAAGAGTTGAATTTTGAGATGTAAAAACTCTTTTCATTATACCAAGTTGAGTTTTTAATAATAAGAACTTGTGTGTCACTTGCAAGTAATTTTAGCTGTGATGTTGAATTTCCAACTGTTTGAATTCAGAATTTCCCTTCAACATTTAGCAGTTGAGGTAGTTGCTATAAGATATTTTTTCATGGAATCACCGTCTGCAACTTTGCATGAATTCAATTTGATAGACCAAGTTGTTACAGAATCGTTTTAGAGTTTAATTGAAACAACTAACTTGGGGAAACAACATTCTGCTAAATGTGCTGACATGTATTATTCTAACTACCCCCCTAGCTTTGCTGGAGATCCTGCAGCTTTCTTTGTCACCTAATCTGGCCTTAACAAAAACCATTAGCAAGAGGAAGAGCATCTCCATTAGCTTCTATATCATCATCTCCGCCAGATTCATCGCTATCATCATCTCCGCCAGATTCATCGCTGCTATCATCATCTCCGCCAGATTCATCGCTATCATCATCATCGCTGCTATCATCATCTCCGCCAGATTCATCGCTATCATCATCTCCGCCAGATTCATCGATCATCACTGGTTTCATTTTCTCCCATGTTTTCACCATATGAATCCTCTGTATCATCCCCACTGTTCTCATCTTCTGAATCATTTTCGCTCATGAAATAGGTTCTATAGTGTACCAATCTATATGACCCATAGCTACATTGACCAACACACGTTTAGTAAAACAAAAAGAAAAAAAAGAAAGACTTTACAGATATTACTTACCGATCTTCACATTTGTAGGCTCGTCTTTCATAGGTGGTGCTGACTCCCTCGTCAATGGCAACTAAAAAGCACTGGTTAACTTTATACCGGATGCTGTATTGACCATGCCATACCTTAGACTTGGTCATGTCCCACTGAATAGTATCTAGCACGAGCTGCTCATCAATGTTAAAAAGGAATAACCCGTGTTCAGGGAATTGGATGGGTACGGTAGAGGTAGGTAAGTCTTCACGTTTAGCAAGTATATTATGTATATCCCCCTGATTCAACCATTCGTGTTCTGACCGTTCAAAGATCTCCTCAAGATCTGAGCAAATAAGTGACAAAGAGAGATAACCCTATTCAGAGACCTCAAGCTTAATGATGACATTAAACAATCGACTAAGTACAGAGATGCAAAACAAATCATATTACGAGACAGAGAACAGAGTCACAGACCCAGTAGGATAAATACAGCCTAAATTTTGTCAAACAATAAAAGAAGGAAGAAAAGGAAGAAGAACCTGGATCTATCTCGTTCCGAAGATTGTTAGCCATGATTCCTAAGATTCCGACGTAGCAAGAAACCTGATTCTATACCAGCCCTGAACTCGCCAAATTCTGCACCAGCCCGAAGAAATGATCGTAGAAATTGATTCACCAAAAACTTCAAGAAATCTTCACACATCATAGCAAATGCCTTCTACATGACACAAGTTACCTTGAAGCAAACACGACGGACTTAATCGCTGACCCCCATGGATCTGTATCTTCTGCAATTCCGTCGCCAACTTTAGATTCTTCAACCGATTAGAACCTCGATTCAGTGAATGAAATCGCCGAGTGAATACTCTCTCATCTCTCAATCTCTCTGTGAATCGATGTGTGCGAACACGAAACGAAAAAGCAACTAAATTCGTCTCCACTATCTCTGTAACCCAAGAATCCCAAAAGAAATAATTGACTCGTAATCCTATTTCTCACACAGTCGCTTTATATACAGAGGTTTAAGACTCGGCGACTCTAAGTTGATTTCAGTTAAAAACGGTTGGAGTAACTAACTTACTAACTCTCAGCACACTTGATATTGAAGAAGACGACTTAAACGATGTCGTAGACTTTTGTGTTTTGGTTTTCTCCAGCTCAATTTCCGGTTAACTCATTTAACTCAAACCGAGTCTAACTAAACCTGTTTTAAAACTCACCAGGTGTTCTTGAGTATTAATACTCCCTCCGTTTTTGAATAGTTGTCGTTTTAGAGTTTTTTTTTGTTTTAAATTAGTTGTCGTTTTAAGGTAATAATGTAATTTATGCCAATAACTACCTAAATTACCCTCATTTTATTGAACACAAATTATTTGTAAATAATTACTTGTCATTTTTATGAGATTAATATAATCATTTAACTCAAACCGAGTCTAACTAAACCTGTTTTAAAACTCACCAGGTGTTCTTGAGTATTAATATGAATTTAGTAATGTTTGAAAAAAAACAAAAAAAAAAACAATTCACTAATGCGCAATGGTAAAATCTGGGGGTGAATTGAATAGAAACTTAAACAAGAGGGGCCTTTTTGTGAAGTTTCATTTTGTTTTTCCCCTTCGTTGGCTCTGGACAACATCGCTAAAAGAGAGATCTCTAGATCGCTGGTGGATTCGAAGAATCTCTGACGGTCGGTTCTTGACGACGGATCAAGCTCTATTTCCTCTACCCAAATCTGCGTTATTAGTATCATCTAATCCATCGCGCATTTATCTGTTTCCATCTTCTGGAATCAACTTTGCTTTTGAGGAGAAATCATGAATTCCAACTTCGGGAAGAGATCATCGGGACCGATCAATAGCTTCGATTTCGATCTGGGACTCGGATCGAGCCAAGGTAGACCTCTTAATGGTCAGAAGAGCCAAACATCTTCCTATACAAGCTCGAATTCGCAGCCGAGACCTGCGTGGCAGCCTGGTAAGCCGTCGTGGACGCATCAACCTGCACCGAAGCAGAGTACGATCCGATCCGAGATCGGAAGTGGACCGACTTCAATGGTGGGTGATATTCATGGTAAGACTTGGGGTTCAGCTTCGGGATCGGGTTCGGGGATTGGGATTGTGAATAAGGATCCTAGTTTGTTTGGAGATCTGGTGGGTTCTGCGATAGGTCAAGGTAAATCTAGTAGAAACGTGCCGTTGAAGAATGCACCGCCTGTTTCGGCTTCAGGTTCGAGTAAGAGTCCTTATTCTATGGGGAATTTTGCTGATTCGTTGCCCAAATCTGGTAATTCGATGAAACCTGGTGGTGGTATGGGTTATAGCAGTAATCCGAGTGGATTTTCTGGTGGTTACAAGAGCTCCGGTGGTATGAATTCTGGTGTTAATGCTAATAGTAGTCCAAATCTTGGTGGTCCTTCAATGAAAAATATGTCTGGGGGCAATCTGAGTGGGTCTGGTCTTTCTTCGAACAGTGATCCATTTGGTTCTTTGGTTGGTTTCGGATCAAAACCATCAGGAAGCATCAATTCTGGAATCAAAACAGGAAAGGTTAACAACAATGCACAGAGTGATGCTTTTGGGAATTTTCAAGGAGTGTCGAACGTTAACAGTAGCGGTTTTGCGGGATCAACCACTCAAAACAACGACTTTGGGAATTCCAGGCTTCGAAATCAAACACATTCTCATCAGGCGGTGGCTTCAATGCTTCAAACGTTGATTTTTGTGTGCAACCAAGTGGTCCTCAATCTTCAAGTGCAAACGATGATCCATTAGGAATGTTCTCTAGTTCCAAACCCACAGCTGCAGCGGCTACACCACAGACTGAAGATTGGGGATTTGAAAGCTTTGACGGTGGGGCTGGTTCCACCACCGAGCTTGATGGTTTGCCACCACCTCCACCTGGTGTATCAGCTACATCAGCTAAGAGCAAGGGCATTGATAACCAGAGACAAGGTCAGTATGCTGATGCCATAAAGTGGCTCTCTTGGGCTGTGATTCTTATGGATAGAGCTGGTGATGAAGCTGGATCAGCCGAGGTTCTTTCAACAAGGGCTTCGTGTTACAAAGAAGTTGGAGAGTATAAGAAGGCTGTGGCCGATTGCACAAAGGTATGTTAAGAAAGGCACATTTTTCTTTGGATGCATCATGGTTCATATGACTCTCATCTCAGATCCTTAGTTTCATCCGTATACGAACTCTCTAGTTGTAGATGTATTAAAATTAGCTACGGGGTTAAGGACTCTTGATGGAATTGATACTGATAAGAGCTTTCAAGTATATGAAACTTGACAATTTGAGATTTAGGTTCTTATGGAATCTGAAGATGGATTACGAGTTAGAAATAGTGAAATACTGTGGAAGTATAGAAGTTTTAGAGTCTTGCTTTGTAGAAAAACTTACCAGAACTGATGGTTTCTGGTAGACTCAGAACAAAACCAACATCTGCAAAACTTGTTCTAGAAATTTTCACACATCTTAAGTTCTTAATCGGATTGGCAGTTATGCTTCACAGTTGTTTTTTGTTTTTTCACTTTGAAAACGTGATTGCAGGTACTTGATCACGACAAGAAGAATGTGACCATTCTGGTTCAACGAGCACTCTTATATGAGAGCATGGAGAAATACAAACTCGGAGCTGAAGACCTAAGGATGGTTCTAAAGATCGATCCCGGGAATAGAATTGCTAGAAGCACTGTTCACCGCCTAACCAAAATGGCTGGTTGATCCTTCATATATACCGATACTTTTCAAAGAAAAAAAAAACAAAAACCCTTCAAATATTTATAATCCTTCTCGTTACTTTGCCCAATACCGTTTCCTTTCTCATCCATGGACCATGCGTGTGTGTATTTTTTTGTGAGTTTTATTGGTTAATGGGTCAGCTTCTGTAGTAAGTGAGTGATGAATGTATTTTTTGGACGATGTTGTTGATTTTCTTTTACACTAATTTTTTTTTTGAGTTTTATCATGAAATGTTTGAACAGTCGATGTTTTATGAAATGCCAAAGATGGCCGTAACTCGCAAAACGAGAACCTTACTTTGATACGCTGCCTGCGTCTGCGTGATGAACGTGAGTACTTCTTACTTGGTTTGTTTTTTCTAGCCTATCTATGAGATTCCATTTTTTGTCAACTATCTAGCATCTACTAGGAGCTTGTTTTTTTTTTTTTTTTTTCTAATTTCTAGGAGCTTAGCTTTTTTTGAATAGATATTAGGTGTTTCCAATTTCTCTTACCTTTTTTTCGTTTATAACAAAATATATTTTCGCTTAACTCAAATATTGTTTGTAATAGCTCAACTAATACAAAAGTCTCAGTCTAATCTCCAAATTCTCCATCTCCTTCAATCAACCGTACATTAGTATTATTTTTTTGCCAGATTAAAGTATTTGGATTCAGAAAGGGACTGGAATACTCCATTACGTGTATTTATAATTGAAAGCATTAATTACCAGACGCTCGTGGACGCAACACTCCAAATACCGATTATTAAACTAATCACATTATCGTACGTTTTGTTTTGAGAGCGAGCCAAAAAAGGCTTATAATTTTGTCGTTATGTGGATTAGCCTTAAAATCGTTGTAACCGTCATGTATTAAGGAACATAAAAATAATATTAGAAATTATTATAATATAAAGTATTCATTTCACTCCGACTTTATTATATACCATACAACATTTATTTTGCCTATAAAGGCATTTCACCACCACCGTAGCAAACTTCCTCTTGAAAGAAACCCACAGCAACAAACAGAGAAAATGTGTGGCGGTGCTATTATTTCCGATTTTACCCCTCTCGTCACCAAGGCCAAGGGCCGTAAACTCACGGCGGAAGAACTCTGGTCAGAGCTCGATGCTTCCGCCGCCGACGACTTCTGGGGTTTCTATTCCACCTCCAAACTTCATCCCACCAACCAAGGTACGTACTACTCTCGATCTCTCCACATAATCATATTAGGACAAATGAAAAGGATAAATTATATTTCTGGAACTGACGGGAAGATGAAAAAAAAATTATTTGGTTTTGGTAATGTCATTTATTATGATTATTTTAATTAGCTGTGGGGTCAAAACTGTAATTTTGAACTTTGGGGAATCCGATGAAAATTTTGAAGTTAACGTGCAAGAGGAGCCAGCGAAGGAGCAGGCAACAGAGCCGGCGACGGAGAAACGGAGGAAGAGGAAGAATGTTTATAGAGGGATACGTAAGCGACCATGGGGAAAATGGGCGGCTGAGATTCGAGATCCACGCAAAGGTGTCAGAGTTTGGCTTGGTACGTTCAACACGGCGGAGGAAGCCGCCATGGCTTATGACGTGGCGGCGAAGCAGATCCGTGGTGATAAAGCCAAGCTCAACTTCCCAGATCTGCATCATCATCCTCCTCCTACTACTTCTACTTCGCCGTCGCCACCTTCACGATCAACTGATCAGCCTCCGGCGAAGAAGGTCTGCGTTGCCTCTCAGAGCGAGAGCGAATTAAGTCTGCCGAGTTTCCCGGTGGAGTGCGTTGGATTCGGAAATGTGGAAGAGTTTCAGAACCTGAGTTACGAATTTGAACCTGATTACGATCTGAAACAGCAGATATCAAGTTTGGAGTCGTTCCTTGAGCTGGACGGTACCACGGCGGAGAAACCGAGTCAACTCGATGAGTCCGTCTCCGAGGTGGATATGTGGATGCTTGATGATGTCATCGCGTCGTATGAATAAAAAAAAATAGTCTAATAACTAAAAACAAAATCAAATAAAGTTTGTAATATATGTAACCGCCGTTACTTTTTAAGGTTTTTACCGTTACATTGGACTGCTGATGATGTCTGTTGTGGACCGTGTGGAGTTCAAAATGTGACCAAATAATGGAGCGTTATATTACGGTTTAATTGTGGAATTATTATTTTCTGTAATGGAAAAAACTTACATGTGTAAATAAGATTTGTAATGTAATAAGTATTTATAACTTTTTAACTACTTTGTGGTAGTCCTGATTCCTGAAACAAATGGAAATATATGACAATGGGGTTTCGATTTTTTCTTTGTTTTTCATAGGGGTTGTTATTATTAGGTGGAATAATTCTAGGGTAAGAATTAGCAGCCTTTCTCTATTCTTAAAAAAAGGTGTGTATAGTAGGAAGAGACAGAATTAGCAGCCTTTCTCTATTCATATACACATATAATTCTTGTATGTCTATGAAAAAGGTTATATGATGATGATTTATGAGTATTTCTTTTTCATTACTTTACGTGCAATATTTATGGAAAAGGTCTGATCCGTTTGGTCTCTATGGAAAATTGGAATTCTGACATATCTTGATTTTAACAAAAAAAAAAAAAAATGTTAACCCCATCCTTAACAAATGAAATTCGGGACAAAAAAAAAAAAACTTACCAATGAGATCAAATTTGGAACTTGAAGAAGTAATTTGTTTTTAATTGTATGATTCATTGTATTTTAATCTATACCATAGCTTAAACAATAAAATAAAAAATTATAATTAAAGGATTCAATTGTTTAAATTACTCTTTCTACCAATAACTACCATGTCATTTAATTAATTTGTTAACGTTTTATATTTTGTAAATATTGTACGTTAACGTTTCAACTGTAAAACTCTATCCCTAGGCCTAGCTATCGTTTCCCAAATGTAAATATTGTACGTTACATGCATCATGTGATGAAAAAATGTAGATGCATGAACCTCTAAAGCCTAGTTGGTCTAATGATAAGAATTAAAGTGGGTCCCTACAATGTTTCGAAGATTGACAGAATCTATTTGTTTCGCGATATTGTCTATTTCTTTGACGTTTTAGAGAATCATTAGTAATTTAATTAGTAATAATCACATCTATTCGATGTGATTGTTTAATTACCCAAGTTCAGAGAACCAAACTCTAATGATGAGTGTCATAAATGATTAAAATTAAGAAAATCTTAAGCTGGATCTTAGCAATAAATGATTAAAATTAAATCCCAATTAAGCTATTATTGTTAAGAGAAGTTCTTAGCTAAGCAACAAAAACATAGTTAAGATCCATATTTTACAAATATATTACTTAAATATTCTTAAGATTTATTTCTGAAACACTATGGATAATCATGCTCTTTACTCTTAATCACATGTAGATAAGCATAATAAATCTCGATTGGTTTTTAAAATTTGTCTTTACTTCATGTTGTTATAACAATATGAAAACATAGACACAAAATAATAGAATCCTGATATTCACGGTTAGGACAATCATATATACTTCAAAAGAATTGTGGATGGTTAATACTAATGTAATTTGTTCGCTCAATCTATATATATTCAGCCTTCAATATTATGAAACCAGATGCTAATTATATAAGTCGTCCTTGCGAATATTTGGTATCTACTATTTAGTTAGTAACATATATATATGCTGATCAATTATTAACAATATATGGAAAAAGGCCACTTTTATTTGGTATCACAGTGATGTTATTCAAATAGCTAGAGTAAGGGAACTTATGTAATATGTTAGTTCTCTTGTATAATAGAAATTCAAACATGACATTATGTTTGAAACAAATTCTTATGTAAAAAAATTTGCTGTGTTATGTGGTCAAGAAATCGTAGTCGACAATTTGACCATCTCTGTGTGGTTACTTTTCTCAAGCAGTCATAAACTTTATCCTTTTTCTCCCCACTAGGAATCTTTATACTATTAAAAGAGAAGTACAAATAAAAATGGGTCGGGTTAAAATCAGAAAATTGACCCGAAATTTTGAAATCGGATCTTTGAATTTTTTTTGGAATATAAATTCGAATTAATAATGAAAAATCGAAATAAAATCAAATATTTATGGAAATCAAATAAAATCTGATTGTACTTATGGTAACTAATAATAAAAGCATATTCCGAACAATATTATATATTAATTACGTATAATAAATTTGTTCATATATTTTTGGGACTAATTCCATAACAATCAACGTTTTTGTCATTAATTTCGCTCATTTTAACCAATTATCATTAATTAAAAGATATTTTATTTGCTTCTAAAGATTTCTAGAATATTTATCACAAATAACCCATCTGTTTTATAAATTAAATTGATATTTTTATTTTGGTCGTGTAAATTAAATAGATATTTTTATTTTGGTCGTGTAAATTAAATAGATATGAAATCCATGTAACTAATTTTAATTTAATTAGATTAAATCGAAATTATGATATTTTCATACCTATAGCTTACCAAAGAAGTTTAATTTTCAATTTATAAAGATTTATTGAATATGATTTTAGAATTATTCAACAAGATGATAAGTATTTATTAAATTTTGTGAATCATGAAAAATAATAATTAATTTTTAATCATTATACTTCATCTTTCAATCTCTCATCTAACAAATAAGATACATATTCTATTATTACTATGTCCAAACTTCATTTTGTTTTATGACTACATAATATTCCCATTAGAACTGTCAAAGCGAGTTGATTCGTCCCGTTAAGTCCGTTTTGCGATAGACAAAAAATATTTTGACTTGTAGTTAGTCGGTCCGCACGACCCGCGGGTAGCATATATGAAATACAAACCCGTCCTGCGAATGTATGCGGATTTGCGGGATTGTCCATGAATTTTGTTTAAATAATTTTAAAGTAACCAAAATTTAAATACTACTAAAATAAAAAAATAAATAAAAATACTATTAAAAGTTTGTTTAAATTACCACATGTTAAATAAATTATAATTTTATCAATAAATACTAATATGCGGGCTGATCCGCCAACCCGCAGATGAAAACCGATTAAACCTATGACCCACTGCGAATTAATCCATGTGGCCCGCTTATTTGCGGGTTTAATATATTTTCCCAAATCTGCCCCATAGTGAGATGATGTGGGCTCGACCCGCGGTGTTTTACCTATTTTGACTGCTTTAATTCCCATGAATCGTCTAATTTTAGAATTTTAAAACACAAAATTCTATTTTGTAAATCATAATTAATACGATGAGTATATTTATAAACAATTTTACATTTTCTCTACAATTCGTTATTATGAATATTTATAAGTATACCACACGATTCGTTCTACTAAAAAACACACACAATATTAAACGCAACGTATGTAAACCAATATTCTCCCGCGGTGGACCGCGGGTCCGATCCTAGTTATATCTAAAATGATTCGCATTTATTTGACTTGCAAACAAATAATGTAATCCGTGTGCGTATTATATGTATATATATATATTTATCGTCAATGCATAGGTATTGTAAATGTATAATAATGTTATGTGTATGTATTGTAAATGTCTCCAACTCATTATTCCTTTTAAAAAATAGAAAAACCATGATGACAATCATTTTCGGTGTAATTTTTTTTTTTAACTTAATAATCATAGATTTATATCTTAGACAATAGTTTATATCATAAATATTGAATTCTGTATTTCAAACCACCTTGTAAAATACTACTACATAATAAGCTTTTTAAAATTGTCCCTTTCATATTTGATAAAATGTATGTTTGTACTTGTCAGTTTTCACAAATCAAACATATAATAGGCCCATATACAAAAGGAACAGGCCGAATTAGCCACACATAGCCACACATTTCTGTGTAGTGGGTCTTGACGAAATTGGACTGGAACAGAATAAGACCCAAAAACCCTAAAGATTTTGGTCCTTTTGTTTTTTTGCCCTAACAAAAAACCCTAACGCAGAGAGGCGGAGAGGAGAAGGAAGACGGTGAGAAGCAATGGTGTCGCTGAAGCTCCAGAAGCGGCTCGCCGCATCCGTAATGAAATGCGGGAAGGGAAAAGTTTGGCTCGATCCCAATGAATCTGGCGATATCTCTATGGCCAATTCCCGTAAGACTTTGATTTTTATATCTCTCCGATTACTTTATCAGAGCTTGATTGGTGTTATAGATTGTGTTTCATAGAAACTTTGTTTTTAAGAGTGATTAGAAACTTATAGCTCATTGATGAAGTGATAGTAAAAGGTCGTTTCTACACTGTACTGTGATAAATTAAGAATTCGTTTGAGTTTCTAGTCACATATATGAATGCATTTCTCAGTGTTTAGGCCTTATGTAGTAGTAAGATTCTGCCTTAAGTTTCATAGAAATTGTTATGCAAATGAAATTTGTAATGTCTCTGTTTACAAACATAGATTAGCCAGCTAGATTCATGCATTTTTCTTTTGGGATCCATTGGAATGTTAATTTCACAGTGGTGTTGATACTGTTCTTAATACATTTTTGGATTATGTGAAACAGGGCAGAACATTAGGAAGCTTGTGAAGGATGGTTTCATTATCAGGAAGCCTACCAAGATCCACTCACGTTCTCGTGCCAGGGCTTTGAACGAGGCCAAGCGAAAGGGTCGTCACTCTGGATACGGTAAAAGGCCAAATGAGATTTCCTGCTTGAAATATCTTGTCTTTCTTTGATTATTACTGGTTTAGTGAACATTTTCTTTTGTACCTCTTCAATGTTTTTTTAGGTAAGAGAAAGGGTACAAGAGAGGCAAGGCTACCAACCAAGATTCTTTGGATGAGGAGAATGAGGGTGTTGAGGCGTTTCTTGAGCAAGTACCGTGAGTCAAAGAAGATTGATAGGCACATGTACCATGACATGTACATGAAAGTGAAGGGTAATGTGTTCAAGAACAAGCGTGTGCTTATGGAGAGTATCCACAAGATGAAGGCTGAGAAGGCCAGAGAGAAGACACTCTCTGACCAGTTTGAGGCTAAGCGTATTAAGAACAAGGCTAGCAGGGAGAGAAAGTTTGCCAGAAGAGAGGAGAGATTAGCTCAGGTGAGAAATTTATAGGCCAATTATGTCTCTCTGTCATATTAGTTTTGGCATACACTCATTAATAGTACTTATGGCAATTTTAGGGACCTGGAGGTGGAGAGACAACAACTCCTGCTGCTGCGCCAGTACCTCAACAAGCAGAGTAAGAAACCTGTTCTTGTTTCTTTCCTTTGTTCGGTTTTGGGGATTGAAGTTTGAACTAGGCGGTGATGTTGGGATTTTGTTTTCTTTTCAGGGTAACGAAGAAGAAGTCGAAGAAGTGATTTGGTTTTGAACTTTTTTGCGATTGAATCTTGAGTTTACCTGTAGAAGAAGCGTCTTTTATCCTAAATGATTTTGTCGGAGATTCTTTTCTTGAAAAAAATTTCTTATGTTATGGATCTCACATTGCTTATTATGAATTTATCAGTTTTGTTTCTTTACATTTTCTCTTTGACCAGTT